GCTGAATTACTAGGAGTTAGGGGTAGGGGATATAAATATATAGTTACCTAACTAGAATCGTCGGTATTATTCGCCTACTATTAAGTAGCGGCTATATTATCGGCACGTTACTACCGAACGTTCTTTAACTAATCGTATAGCTATTATTAACGCTAGCGCTCTTATTTACGAGCCTACTATTCTTATCTCTCTTATTTAAGCTGTATATTCTCTTTAGCTAATAGATCTTCTAGCTTCCTAAGACTAGGTAACTATGGTTTAACTAGTGATTAGGGTCGGGAATATAAAATTAGAGGTAAACGATTCTCTTAATCTTATTAACTTCCCGTATACAGCTGATTTAGGTTAATACCTATCGTGGTCTTATAAGACCCTAAGCTAGTCTACGGTTAATCTATATCTATATCTATAGCACTAGATATATAAGGTGGAATCGGGGTATTCTCCGAGATTATAGGACTAAAAGGAAAATTTAATTAAAACTCGGGTTAAAGACTAATAACACTGCTTATACTGCTGATTATCTATAGCCGAGTAGTGCTATTAGTGGCAGGGTTATAGTTAGTTAGCTATTCGGCCGCTAACGACGAAGATACTTAATTAGGCTAAGGATCGCTAATATCAATACGAACACTATTATCGGACTAAGCCTCTAGTGGCCGATTATTATTCGACTATTAGATCCTAGATATACCGAATCCTGTCTAACGGTCGCTATCCGCTTTTAGAGCGATTATCTTATTAAGAAGGAGATATAGGTCTACCCCGAAGGGATAAGGACTAAAGGGTAATAGGGAGTAACAAATAAGAATCGTAGTCTTATATAAGGGGAGGCTAACTATAGGTTAACTAGTGGTTAATAGGAAGAGTATCTTAAAGGTAGGTGGTAGTGTAGAGGAGAGATAATCGCTAACCCCTTTCTTTTAGAATAGTCTAGCTCCCTGTCTTATATAATAAATATCCACTCATTAGTCAGCCGGTAGTCCACTGCGTAGTCCACTACTATATCCTAGTACCTCCTAAGTCTTCCTTATATCCTACACCTAACAGTACGACCGGTAATATATTATTAGTTATAGAGACTTACGACCGCGATACCTAGGCTACGGTATACGAAGATATTTACCGCCGCTTTAACTAAGGCTAGGCTACCGTTGTTAGCCAGGTTATAGCTACAGTTAAGTCTTACCGCGGTCGTTTCTTCTTATAAGGACCTAGCGGCACGGGTAAAACCTTTATATATCGTGGTCTCTACGCCTATTTCCGGTCGCGCGGCCAGATTATCCTCTATATAGCGTCCTCTAGCATCGCGGCGGTTCTTCTTAAAGGTAGCTATATGGCTTATTCGCGGTTTAAGATCCCTTTATAGATTAATAACTCCTTTACGTGTAGCGTGCTAAAGAATTCGGACCTTATAACACTATTACGGGAGACTACTCTTATTATTTAGGACGAGGTCCCTATATAGTATAAGTTCTATTTTAAGGCCGTTAATTGTACGTTACGGGATATACTAAGCTATGACGATCTATTTAGCGGTATTCCGGTTATTTTTGGAGGCAATTTTATGTAAATCCTGCCCGTTATTCGGAATAATAGAAGGGCGTAGATTATATATACCTGCTTCTAGCGGTCTTCTATCTAGCTATAACTCGGTATCCTTAGCCTAACAGAGAATATACGGGTTACCTCTACCGATCCTAATAATTAGGCATTTATTTAGTGGTTACGGGATCTCTCCTATAATACTACTCTTCACGGGTCTATTAACCTTTTCCCTACTATCACGACTCTTTACAATATCGTCCGTCTTTATAGGCGTATTTACCCGATTAATTTACTAGATTAGGCGTTATCAGACTATATAGTATTTATTAACCGCGTTATTCTAATAACTTATAATACTACTATTACGGAGATTAATAGCTAGATACTCGGGCGCCTACCTAGCTAGTCGCGCGTTTACCGGGCCGAAAATTCGGTTGCTAATCAGGCAGAGAATACTAACGGCCCTACGCAGGATCTAGCCCCAGAGTTTTTAATACAGTTATAATTCGCTTTTATCCCGCTAGCACGTCTTAAGCTAAAGGTCGGCGCCCCTATTATACTTATACGGAACCTAAGCCCGCGGTAGGGTTTATATAACGGTATATATATAGTTATTTTATGGATAGCGCGGAATACGCTAGAGGTAAAGGTCCTATCAGAATTACACGCTGGCGAGGTTATATTTATCCCCCGTATCTGCTTAGATTCTAATAAGGAAGACTATCTATATATTATCCGCCGCCGTTAATTCCCGCTACGGCTCTATTTCGTAATAACGATTAATAAGTCGTAGGGTCAGTTATTTAGTATAGTCGGCGTAGATTTCTGGCAGCACGCCTTTACTCACGGTTAGTTTTACGTTACGATATCGAGGGTTACGGATATTAGAAATCTATTTATTTTATTATAGGCCGATAACGGTTAGGGCGGTAGGTAGGCTTAGCCGTAGGTTAGTCGGAGTATATCTAATATCGTATACCTAAAGGTCTTAATAGATTCTTTTCAACGGTTACTTCTATGGTTATAATAGTCTACTATAATAACTAGCGGATCGATAACGCGGTCGGATTTCTTTATTATATAGCCTATATTAAGGGTAGATAAAGTAACGAAGTAAACTACCTATTCCCGCCGCACCGTAAATATAAAAATAAAATAACTGTAAACCCTTTATAAAATAGTAAAGTAAAAAAAAAAAAAGCCGTCTTAATTCTCCGCCGGGATACTATTCTTTAGGGCAGCGATTATATTCTTATAGTACTAGATTAACTGCTTTTTCTATGCTATCGTTATACCGGTAAGGAGTATCACGGCTAGCACTTCGATATTACTAAAGGTTATTATAGACGGGGCGAGGGGCGCGGGTATAGGCGTGGCGGGCGTAGGCGTGGCGGGCGTGGCGGTAGCCGTATTTATACCCGAAGCACCGGCGATAGTTATAATAGTCGGGGGGGGAGGGGAGCGGTAGCCGTAGTTAAGGTCTTTGCCTTCTTAAAAAGCGTTACGGTTCCTATAGTATTATAGATTGATTAATTAGTATAGGTCGGTATTCGTTATAGTTATTATTAGCTTACCTATAGTCTTATTTACACGCTTTTTTCCCTTAGAAGAAGCGGGAGTAATAGTAGCGGTGGCGGTGGCGGTAGTATTATTATCGGCGGCGGCGGCGGCCGGGCGGTATAAATATTTACGGCCTTCCGAATTAAAGTGGTAGTTATTATAGCTACCGCTAGCGATACCCGAGAATATATAGTAACGGGCGAAGGGACCGTCTTTCTTACTATAGTGCTTATAGTCTATTTAGAGGTCGCCGATAATTGTTATTATAACGGCCTCTTAATTAGCCGGGCGATTAAGGTTAAGGTTTTTATCCTCCTATAATAGGAGGTCCTGTTTAGCCTATATTAATAATATCGGTTAGTAAATAATATATAAAATAGTATATAAGTTAATAACCTACCCGAATAACGCGTATAGTATTAAGGGCCTTAGTAGCTTTATACCCGCTATTATATATAAGGTTAAGAACCTTACTACGATTAACTATACGGCTATCCTTTATAGGTATCGTTTCCTAAACGCTCGTGCGGGATAAAGAGGCCGTATTATATACGGGCGGGCGGGCAGGCGTACGGGCGGGCGAGGAGGCGGTAATAAAGGTAATAACGGAGGTAGTGTCGGGTAAGGCGGGGGCGGAGGCAAAGGCGGCGGGTAAGGCGGAGGCGGCGGGCGAGGCAGGGCGGCAGGCGGCGGGCGAGTTATCGGGCGTAGGGGACCGCGATTCCTATAAGTCGATAAAAGAGTCGGAGAGTACGGGCGGTATACTACGAATTACGGTTAGTATTATCGCTTTCTATAGGGTTAAGGCGTGTATTTATATCCGTAACTTATGTGATAGTAAGGCTTTAACTACTTAAAACGGAAGGGAGGGAGTAATATTTAAATAGATAGTAAAAAACTATTACTTAGCGGCACTATAAGATATAATAAGGGTTAATTAATTAAGAGCTTTATTTCCGTAAATAGTATAGTTTAATAGTCGGAAATAGAAAGCTGCTTTATTTAGATAATAAAAAAACTAATACCAAACGTCGTTATAGTATAGGAAATAGTAAACAGCAGTAAAATAAAAGAAGGCGGGCGTTTTACGGTTATTTTCGGCTATTTTCGGTTATTTAGTTATTATAGAGCAGGTCATATAACAAGCCCCCCCCCCATAAAGGGGGGGGGGGCGAGCTTAGCGGCGTTGCCCGTAGGGCAACCTGCTAAGCTCGTAACTTTTCATTCCCGCTATATGGAATCACTTTAACAGCAATGTGGATTATCTATTCGGACAAGCCTTCGTCATGAATCGTGAGTTTACCCTGTCAATGGGAAGATCAACCCCTCCGGGATTTCTGGAGGATGAACGGAACCTTGTCACTTTCACCTCGGATACTTCTTTTGGGTCCCGGCCGATATGCCGGCTAAGCTCATCTCGGTGACGTATCCCACACCCGAGCCCCTTTCCCCCGCCCCCGTAAAAGTCCCCACCAGCTAGCTATCCGTCATCGCCCGGGGTGTGCTATCCCACAAAGTCACACCCCGCGTTCCCGTCAACGTGCAGCTCCCCATTGATCGGGGTAGGAGATGATGAGTCCCGATTGAATTGTCTCAGAGAGGAAAGACATATGGCAGCTGATAGGGATACTTGTATGCAGTCACATTCTCGGGTCGTCTTTGGGGGATGGACGAAGGGAAGAGACCCCCAGTACGTCCGGTTTCTGTTTTGCTTGCCTATATCGGCGGGCACCACTTATGCCGCATGTCTGCGCCTTTGGTCAATATCCCGCATGGCATTTTGCTCCCATGCCACCAAGCAATAGCCCTGAACGCCGCGGAGCCCATCCAGACTTGCCATGCCGTATACACCTGACAAAACACGTCTCTGCCTGGTCCTCCCATCTCAGAGCTCAGAGTTCCATGCTCATCAGATACATCTCGATAATCCTCATGAATTTGGCCACGAAGGCTTCCAGATGGAAGATGACCTTCGTCCCCATCCGGATGCGGTGCTCGTAAAAGGCCGACCATTTCACCACCTCGGGTTTGAGTGCATCGTCGATCATCGGTATCAGCTTGAACGTGAGCGTCCTGAGGATCGTGGTCGCTGGAATACAGTGCGTTAGGAGGTCGTAAAGCTTGGCCCGCACCTGCAGGATCCTCGCCGGGGTATGCTCCTCCATGATTTCCTTCGCGATCTGCCCTATTAGAGCCTCCCAATCTGGCGGCGGAATTCTTGTCGCCTCTGTAACTTTCTCGCTGTTGTGTCATGTCGTCAGCTCCTCTTGCGCCTTACCAGATGGGAGAAAAAAAAGGGGGGAAAAGGGGGGGAAAAAAGGAGGGCAGGGAGCCATGTCACTTACTTCTGCGCATGCACCGATTCGTACATGAGAAGCGCCCGCCGCAAATTCCGCCCGCTCTCCTGCGCTATCCGCATGTGCAACCCAGGTACGACTGGCCAGCCCTCCCGTTCCGCGCTGGATGCCAGCACGTCGCATATTTCCTCGTGCGTCGGCGCCGCAACCCGCACCAGGAGCGTCCGTGACCGGATAGGCGCGATAATGTTGGCTGTGGAATTGGCGAGCAGGATAAGCCGTAGGTTGGGCGAGTATTTCTCCATGGTTCGGCGCAACGCCGCTTGCGCGTCGCGTGTCAAGTGGTCTGCCTCGTTGATGACAACCACCTTGAAGCGCTGCCGTGCGGCCTGGTCCACCTGCTGCGTCTGGGCCACCTCCTTGAGCAGATCTTGCACCACAACACGGTCATAGTTGCCCACATCGGACGGTGTGATTTCGAGGTGGTAGTTGGACGCCACTATGTTGAACTCGAGCTTGCGATTGCTTGTTGTCTGGAAGACACGGGCGTCGATTTTGATCTTCTCTACTCCCGGCCCATAGAGCTCTTTCAGTGTTGCCACTATGCGTGTTTTCTTGCCGGCACCCGAGGGTCCGTAGACGAGGAGATGAGGGAAATCGCCGCTTTGGGCCTGCAATCGGGAATATAGCGTTAGCATGGATGCGAGTGCCCTCGGCTTCAATCTTTCTTGCGTACCAAGGACCGTAGTCTTTCAGATAATTCCTGATGGTAGGTGAGAGCATCCAACGACCGTGGCCGGTGCTTGTCGACTATGAGAGCCATTATGCTTAATGGTCCGTCCCAATAAAGAAAATGTGTTGAGTGATGTTGAAAATATCCGATTGTTCCAGTTCGCTTTTTTTTCTTATTTTTCTCTTCCGTTTCTCTACTTGACAACCACGTCGGCAGACTGTAGGCGTTCTTGGATTGGAGACGCGACGCTCACGCGTAAAGTGGTATCACTCTGCCAAGATGAAATCCCGATAGTGGATACCCGTATGTGGCTGTGCGGTGGTCTGTGCTCACGAAGATAATCGAGACGAGAAGCTTTGGGACGTACATACCCTATTCTGTTCCTACAACGGATGACGGACGATGGATAACGGTCAACTAGAGGTACGGAGTAACTATTTTCTGACTGAAGCTGATGCCGGAGCACAAGTTGCATTAAAATACACTGAAGAGGGTTGGTTTACGTGCATACCTCCATGTACATCTGCGAAACGTTTACAGCCTATAAGACATTGAGCGTTGAATCCTCAAGCATTTGACTCTATTGATACAAGGTTCCATTCGCAACAACTGCCTCGCTCCTCTTGTACACAATGGCTAGCTTCGTTTTGTACACAGACCGACTATAATGCATCTTTCTATCAAGCCGCAGCAGATGGCGAAGCACCCGCGGACCCAGTTGGTGTTGTAGGGGCTTGCTCCAGTGCCTCTGAAGGGGTAATCTTCTTCCTCGGCCGCTTCAAGTCTTCTAGTGTGACACCGTGCAATTTTGTGATACCAACAACTGGCGGCTCGCCCTTGCGCACGAACGCCCATTGACCTGACAGGAGGGGACACAATCAGTGGTTATGTCCAGGCATGAAACGGTTGACAGCTTCAACTTACCAGGCAGCTTGTTCCCAGCTAGACGCATTGCATCACGCGCAACCGCCTCGTGTAGCATTCCTTTGATCTCAAAGACAATCTGACTGACGGCGACACGAGCGGCCCAGTGGTCGAACGAGCCTTTTCCTTTTCCCATACGCATCTATCACACCGAAGTGAGTATACCTGGCCGGTCGTTTGGATAACGCTTCGGGGAACGTCCTCACCTCGTTTCCGGATACATAGACGCCCACGTTGCAGCAGACCCTCTTATACAGCCTGTACTTCTGTCCACGGAGCCGCATCTTGATCGTGTCTTCGGCGTTCTTGAGCTGCTTCGCGCTGATCCTTCTATGATGGTCCGTCATGCGCAAACCGTAATCGCCCCACATCACGGTCGTTCCCTTCGTTGAGCCGCCAGTCGCCACGCGCGGACGGCCCTTCATCATCTTCTTCGTCCGGTCGATCGACGGTTCGAGCCAGGTACCATGGCGGGCTGTTGTCGACGAGAATGGCCGGGCATTGTGCTTGGATTGAGATGCTGCTGCGGGCACAGCCAATCGCGGACGAATCGATGTGGTCAGTGCCCTCGTCGCAATGGGCGTCGACACTCGAAGGCCCTGAAAGGCATTGAGCAATGCCGTAGGCCTCATGATGGTGGAGAGATAGTCGTTGGAGACAGCGCGAAGTCGAGGAGGTGATCATCTCCTTGAGCTGGGATTTTTCGATGGTCAACGAAAAGTGGTCAGTGCATCATCTTGGAGGACCGATTGTGGCACGTGACTTGGTGTCACCAATCGGTGCCCCAGAAGACGGGACCACAGAGCTGTGGCTAGTGACTAGTGGGGCAGTGGGGCATCGCGCCACAATTTGCGTTTCTCAGGGCGCGTTATTGCCTTTCGCGTCACGTCACGACTATTCAGTCGTCCTGGACGCAATCTGACTTCGTCCCTTCTGTCGATATTCGGAGCACCACACACCCCACCTTTCACTCACTCGGGGCCTCAATTACTTGCCCTCACTTAAAGCGCTTAGATATTGAGTGGCTACAGACTATTTCTTTCCCTCCTATCACAAAGTGCTCTTTTCTTTCAGGACCGTCGTGTTCTCGCCATGCCCGATATCCGGTCCTTTTTCGGCCCCAAGAACGGCGCATCTGCCCCAAAGGCGGTCCCGAAAAAGAAGCCAGAGGAGCCGACCAAGGGTAGACGCAGCAGGAAAGTAATCGAGGACAGCGATGACGATGACGCTATCATAGAGTATGATATGTTACTTCCACTCGGTATTGATGAGCCACTGACGATCTCGCAGGCAGAAGGCCCCTAAACCCGCTCCAAAGAGGGCAAAGTAAGTCTTGCTCAAACAAAGCTGACAGCCCCCATTGCTGAGACTATCTATAGAAAGGAAGAGTCTGATGGCGTCGAGATTACGGCGAGCGAATACTTTGCTTCTTCCAAAGCTGGCAAAGGTCCAAAAGCGCCCACGTCTCCAAAACCCGATGCGAAAACCCAAGTCAGAAAAGAGGCCGTAATCCGGAGCAGCCCCAGAAATAAATTGACTACGAAAGCCCCTGAGGCTGGTTCTAACGGCAACGGTCATGCCTTGACCTCGAAGAAGCGCACAACCACCTCCTACAAATCGCATGACCTTGACGACGACGCTGCCTACAAGGACGACGACGCCGAGGACGACGGAGATATCTTTGCCGCTGATGCCAAGGGAAGAAACAAGCGGAAGAATGGCGATTACGTCGACGACGAGAGTGAAGACGAAGATTTGCCCAAACCGAAGCGGATTGCGTCTAGGAGTAATAAAGCCGCTGCTACGACCCCAGTTCAAGATCAACCTGCTCCCAAGCCCAGGAAGAGGAAGAGTCCCGAAAGAGAACTGGACGAGTCTGAAGAGGAAAAGCCCAAGAAGAAACAGACGCCTGCGAAGCGTGCTCCGAGGACCAAGAAGGCCGATGAAGCCGAGGACGCCTCGTACCAAGCCATCCTGGATGACATCCCCACCGTTCGGCCGCCCACGCCTCCACCGAAAGATCCCAATGCCAAGTTTGACTGGAGAGCCGCCAAAAGCGGAGGTCACGCGGCCGCTCCGCCCTCCAATCCTGCCGGCGCTGACATTCCCGAAGGCGAGGAAGAGTGTCTTACGGGACTGACGTTTGTTTTCACCGGTGTGCTTCAGACCATTGGGCGCGAAGAAGGACAAGCCTTGGTGAAGCGATATGGCGGAAAGATAACAACAGCACCGAGCAGCAAGACCAGCTATGTCGTCCTCGGTGACGACGCTGGGCCCAGCAAGCTGAAGAAGATCAAAGACTTTGGCATCAAGACTATTGACGAGCATGGCCTGTTCGAGCTCATCAAGCGGCTTCCTGCGTATGGAGGCAGCGGCAAGGGGGCGGAAAAGGCGCGAGAAAAGAAGAAGAAAGAGGAGGAAAAAATGAAGCAGGAAGCCCTGGAGATGGAGCAAGAGGAGAAAGCTCGCCGAGCGGAGGCTGAGAAAGCGGCGAAGAAGGCTGCCGCCGCACGGGGCGTGACCGGCGCCGCTGCTGCCCCAGCGGCCCCTCCTGCTCAGTTGTGGACGTCCAAGTACGCGCCTACGCAGCTGAGCCATATCTGCGGAAACAAAGTCCAAGTGGAAAAGATCCAGAATTGGCTGAGGAACTGGCCAAAGAGCAAGAAATACAACTTTCAGAAGAGGGGAGCTGACGGCATGGGTGGTGCTCGTGCGATCATCATCTCCGGCCCCCCGGGCATCGGCAAGACCACTGCGGCGCATCTGGCCGCGAAGCTAGAAGGCTACGACGTGCTCGAGACCAATGCGAGCGACGCGAGGAGCAAGCGGTTAGTCGAGGAGGGCGTCAGCGACGTGATGAACAACACGTCGCTTCTCGGTTTCTTCGCCGGCGAGGGGAAGAAGGCGGATGCTGGCAAGAAGAACATTGTTCTGGTCATGGACGAAGTGGATGGTATGTCGGCGGGCGACCGGGGAGGCGTTGGAGCGTTGGCCAAGTTCTGCAAGAAGACTGAGGTGCCCCTGATCCTCATCTGCAATGAACGACGACTGCCCAAGATGAAGCCTTTCGACTTTGTGACTTTCGACGTCCCGTTCCGACGCCCCACGGTGGAGCAGGTTCGGTCTCGCATCATGACCATCTGCCACCGCGAGGGCTTGAAGATGCCCCCGAATGTCGTTGATGCTCTCATCGAGGGCAGCAACAAAGACATTCGGCAGATCATCAACATGGTCTCGACGGCGAAACTCGACCAGACCGCGATGAATTTCGAGCAGGGACAGGCCATGACCAAGGCGTGGGAGAAGCACGTCATTATCAAGCCGTGGGATATATGTCAGAAACTGCTGGGGGGCGGCATGTTTTCGCCGGCCAGCAAGGCAAGGCTCAACGACAAGATCGAGCTCTACTTCAATGACCACGAGTTCAGCTACCTCATGATTCAGGAGAACTACCTCCGCACGAAGCCCATGGCCCTCAACAACAAGGGCTACAGCCCGAGGGAGCAGAGGGTGAAGGCACTGGAGCTCTTCGACTGCGCGGCAGAGAGCATCAGCGACGGTGACTTGGTCGACCGCATGATCCACGGACCGCAGCAACAGTGGAGCCTCATGCCGGCGCACGCGGTCTTCAGCACGGTTCGACCTGCGAGCTTCATTTCGGGTCAGTTGATGGGAACCAACTTCACGTCGTGGCTGGGCAACAACAGCAAGACGGGCAAGCTGGGTCGATTCGTCCGCGAAATCCACTCGCATATGCGGCTGAAATCGTCTGGCGACGCGATGGAGATTCGCCAACAGTATCTCCCTGTTCTGTGGTACCAGCTCGTCCAGCGGTTGGCCGTCGAGGGCAAGGACAGCATCAATGAAGTCATTGAGCTCATGGACAGTTACTACTTGACGCGGGATGACTTTGATGCCCTCAAGGAATTGGGGCTGGGACCTCAAGCTGAGGAGAAGGTGGACATTGAGACGCAGACGAAGGCGGCCTTTACGAGGATGTGCGTACTGCCATTTACTATTCTTCTTCCCTTTCTTTTTCCGCTTTTTTTTTTCTTCTTCTTCCGTTTTCCCAGGCCATACTGACCCCCAGCCCTGCAGATACAACAGCATGCCCCATCCGGTACCGTTCATGAAGGCCAGCAACGTCCTGGCACCAAAGAAGGCGGCGAAGGAAGCCCCTGATCTGGAAGAAGCCATTGAGGAGGAGGATGAAGGTGAACTAGAGGCTGCGGATGTTGTTGAGGATGACGAACTTGATCTGAAGAACGACAAGTACGTCAAGCAACCGAAGAAGAAGGCAGCAAGGGCGACGAAGAAGAAGGCCAAGGCAAACGACAGCGACGATGAGGATAGCGGCCCCAAAACTAAGAAGGCTCCTTCTAAGGGTTCAACAGCCAAAGGACGTGGCAGGAAGTGAGCATGGCCATGATAGAGGTTGACAATACTGGGTCGCACAGCAATGTATAGTATAGGGGGGCAGTGGAGTGGATATGGATATTGGTCGTCTCTTGCTTGTCGGTGCATGTTTCCTTTCTTTTTTTCGGCTTCTTTTTTCTTTTCTTTGCCAACACCAAGGATATGATCTTCGTTACTTCACATTGGGACTATGTATGCGGGTGATGCAATAGACAAGGACAAGGACAAGGGTGTGAGATGGGAGAGGCAAGCTTGTTGACCAGACGTATAGATCAATGAGAACATTGCATACAGACCAGGAAGAAGCAATGCTTCTGTGAAGGCCTAAATTTACCTACTCTCAGCTATAAACATAATACACATAGAGAGGCATAGCAGGACAGGAACACGTACCCTAAGTTGTGAAGGCTTAACAAGGAAATGGTGATGAAGCCCCCTTTTCTCCCTTGAATGGTGGGATAGCAATTAAAAGCCATCGTCAACTCTGAAGACACAACCTGCCCTTGTTCTTCATTAGCTGTCCACCCACCTGTATCACAGGTTATGGGATATGCTATGAGTTTTGTCCATGTTCATGCACTCTTGCTTCCTGGGTGAGCTTCAACTTCTGGGTCTCCCTTCCTTTGTATTGGCTATAAGGCAACTTATAATTTATTACGGATCTTAGTATATCTCCTGACCTACTCCGGGCGCCCTTCTGGCCTGTTAACGGCCTCCTGACCTGCCACGACTCGTATAATCACCAGGGCAGTTCATGAGGTCGTTACAATTCTGGCAGGAGCCATACACGAACGCATCTACTTACTGTATATCAAAATTTTCACGGGATAAGGGAGCTATTGCTGAAGGTAGTCTTCCCGAGTTCCTCTTCTTGGACCTTCTTGTTGATCACATGCCGCCGTCTCATTGCTTGATTGTTCCCTTTTCCCTTTTACCTTTTGTTCTTCTTGGTTTTGACAACCTGAGCTTATAGACGGTGCTATTCTATTGCTTCGTTCTATTCCAGCCTTTGCTGTTGGTCTTGCTTTGCCCCTTGTGTTGTCGGGAACGAGTTTTGAACCTCCCCCAGAGACCAAGCCGAAAGTTGAAGAACATTGCAGCAAACCCATACAGCAGAAGAACTTTATGACTAGGATCTAGAAGCGCAAAGGCAATCTCGGAGGGAATAGTCAACACGAGTAGCTGCAACTACACGCCGAGACACCGAGTCATAGTCTAGTCGTATGATCATGGAGCACCGCACGACCGGCGGAAGGGAGATGGAAAGCCACTACCATGATGGGAATGGTAAGTTGATCTGCATCGTCATGGTCTCGGCGTTTATCGTGGAGTAGCATCGTATCGTCTAACCATTGCCTATTAGCCGTCTCTCCCATCTATGACCTTTCTCAGCACCCAAGCCACGAACTATCCGCCATCGAGGAAGTTCTCTCAGATGAAGATGAAGATGATAACAACAAGAAGCTGAATGATGTTGACCATGAAGTCTCGGACCAACCGTACCCTGCCCTTGGTTCGGGTCCCATCGCCGAAGAGAGTCAGAATGGCCAACAATTTCCGCCGGAATCTGCTGAACATGACACGAAAGACTCCCACCGCTCGCAACAGGTAGATGTATGTTTTGGAATAGATGATCGTAAACGTAGACGATGGGTCTCAGAACTCTCCGTGGACTAACAGAACTGTTTAGGCTCAGCATAGCCCTGTGGGTGCCGAAGGCGGCGAGCTTGCGTCTGTTGGCAGAGAACAAATGAAAACCCACGCTCGTGGAAAGTCAACTTCAAGCTTCCTCGCTTTGGGTGATGGCATCTACCCTCCCCCTACGAGTTTCCGTTTCCCCTCGCAGCCGGCTTCCTAGCATGGAGCCGGAGCTGGTCCGGAGACTCGACAGGATGCGAACACGGTTGGCTTGGCCATCTCGGAGCACGAGGACGGCCAAGTTAACCAGTCTGGTTTCTTTGGCTATGTCCAACGGAACGACGAGGGGCACTATGCTAATGCCCATGATACCTCCGATGGGGATTCGTATGATCCGATGGACCTTGCTCCGCTTCAAGACATGGTCCGTAGCGTTCCCAGCTCGGGGGGCTGGGAGCCCGAGGAGCAATATGAAGCCAAGGCTCTTGAGGGTCTTCAACGGGAAGAAGAGGTTGTCCATACTCGAAAACCAGTCCGTTCAGCCTCCCTGGAAGAATTATATAAACTTACTACCGAGGGGTGGCTGGATGCCAACGAAGGATCGAACGGTTGGTATCCTATCAATGGCCGTGATGATCCAGAGGGAGACGAGGTTGTTCATGCGAATCAACCCACCCGTCCAGCCTCCCTGGAAGAGCTATACCGGTTCACCACAGAGCAGTGGCTAGATGCCAATGGAGAAGAGGACGGCTGGTATCCTATCAATGGCAGTGGCCGTTTATCGGACCCTCCGGCGTCCGAGTCTCGTCAAGATGACAGCCCAGTTAACTTCGACCTATTTCACGCGGTGGTTAATTATGTTCCTCCTTACTTCACTACCAATTACCAAGGGAGACAGGCCGGAGACCGTACTGGTCAGCCTGAGGCCACTGGCGGTGCTGTCTATTCCCCGAACACCCGTGACTGGGCCGATTATGGAAGCGCTCTCGTCGACTACGCCCCTGAGACGGCGATTCCCAAGGTTCCTGGTTGCACAGCTGGCCAGCATCATGCCCAGAATTGGACCTTCGGTGCTTCTGCCTTCATAGCATATGCTGCCATGCGTGGTTCGGGCATGGATACGGGCAACCCGCTCCAGACCTGGATGGGGGTTAAGGGTATAGAGCGTCACGGCCATGACCACGACCTCGACTACGACCACAACAACTCCCGGGCCACGGACTCGAAGGCCGACGACTTCAAATTCAAGCAACTAAGAAGGTGCGTCTCCAAACTGCAAGGATTAGAGAGTGATGATATGAGTTACCCCAAGCACTCGGTTGACCCACGACCGACTGAGCCTATAGTTTCACCGCCGAGGTTGAAGTGGCCCTTTGGGAAAGACCCTTGGTCATTGATGAGAACCGTCAGCAGCGAGTTGAGATCCCCCGACCCAAATACAAGCACCTGAACCCTCCCGAGGGGTTTGAATATCCCCATCACCTCGCGTCGTCGATCAACGGCATCGCCGCGGATAGCTGGGAGAGAGCGAAGACTTTCGGTGAGTACTGTTTTCCTCCCTGGAGACTCCAACTTCTGCGACGAAAGGGGCGCATTGGACTGACCAGCAAAGTAGAAGAGGAGTACGATATCTCGGATGACGAAGGATCGCCTCCCTCTGGTCGTATATCACCTTGCACATTCCGCGTCCTGGCCGAGGGTTGCAAGCGCTGGGAAGACCCGGCCAAGGACCACAGAGTCGAGATGCCCCCTGAAACGAAACGACTTCGACCTGAGACTCCTCCCCCGACAGACATGCCGACATATCATCGCAACCGTATGGGCCACAAACGCACCTTGCAGCAAGACGTGGAAGACGGTAGCTGGCTCTCTCCCATCTACTCTGTGACTGAAGACCCGAGTATCATCTACACGCCTCCCGGTGAGTTCTACTTTGAAAAAAAGAAAAAGCCCCTCTTACACATCTTCTTCTGGCTCCCAGCCTTCTATCTAGACGAGTGTACCTAGGTGTACCAATACTCCCCGTGTCCAGAGGTTAATCGACTAACAGGAACCCAACGTCATCCGACAAACTTTGCCATATGTAACTGGCAAGACAACGTCCACGAGGTCATGGACCCTCTTGGCGCCCAACATCTGCGTGAATTCCAGCCCACCAGCCATATCGCCCCTAAAATCACCACGCCCAACGACCTGGCCCCGGCCCGCATAGCCTCAGCACACACCGCCGCGACGCGAAGCTCAGAGAACCGGCCCTACACAGCAGCAGAAGTGCAAGCAGCCCTGCTCTCCCCGCAAGCGCGACCGCTAGTAGACGGCAGCATAGCGCCCGAACACGCAGCGGCGGTGCTCGGAGCCCACTGGCAATGGGCATGCCAGATGCGCGACGCCGCGGCGCAGCAGTCACAGCGCAACGAAGAAGCGCGGCAGCGCATCAATTCTCTGCGCGACGAGCTGCGCGACATGGAACTCTGCGTCGACCACGTCCTGCAGAGGCGCGAGGAGGAGGAAGAAGAGGTGGTGGAGGAGGAGGACCAGCGCCGCGTCGAGCGCCGGAACCGCCGCATCATACGCCAGGTCAGCGCACACCTCCGCGAGGTCGCGTACGAGGTCCACCGTCGTAGGGAGCAGCTCTGCGTTGTCCTCGGCGAGGCGGCGCAGCTGGAGTGCGAGGAGCAGGTCCTTACTGCCGATGTCCGGGCTGAGATTGCGCGGTCTGGTCTTCCCGATGCTGATGCCGTTCGTGCGGAGGCTGGGCGGGAGTTTCTTGAGCTTGCAGGAACTACGTGATACCTACTACGGATAGGATGAGCGGAGTTGCTCGACTTTACGTACTGCGCCTGGATTGGATCGTGTCAGACGTAGCATGTTATTGTTTGGATTCTTCATTTAATCTGGGTCTGGAAAGGTCCTGTCTCTGTATTCTTGGCGGGAAGTCAGTACGGCCGGGCGATGAAGGCCGAAGACAGACAGAACAAACCCTGAGATTTGTATAACCATCTCTAGCACAATGTTGAATCCTTTCACCATCACTTGTTCTTCGCGAGCTGGGTCATGGAATAAATGTTTGGTCTAGGCGGTGTCTAGGCGGTATGATTGCCATCGCCTTCTGGGTATGATATTGAAGGAAGCTATAGCCTTTTTTCTTCTTCTCGTTGACCCCCGTATCCCGTATTATCCTGTCCCAGGATTTATATACCACATGTCGTCGTACAAACTGCAGTATGTGTATTATTTTACTGTCACCCCGCCAACCGTCATGAGAGGAGCATTGTACATATCAGCCGGAGTACCGCAGTTCGTCAGTACTCCGCCCGCTTGAAAAAGAAGGAAGATAGATAGTTGAACACTTGTTGAATATAATCGTACACAGCCGCGTCTCTCTGGAGAGACGTACGTTGCGAGAGACGCAGCCAGAGCCAGCTCGTAATATGCGAGCTCAATTGTTGTAGTTGGGTAGTTGGGGCACTAGATGGTGAGTGACATGGACATCGCTATGCCCTTGCGCGTCACGTCAAATGCCCATTTCGAAGAAGATTGGCGTCAAGGCTGAATTATTTGTTCTTGACGACGCCGACCTTGGCGGCCCGCAGCACGCGTCCGTTGAGCTTGAAGCCCTTCTGCTGGACGAAGAAGACGTGGCCGTCGTCCTTGTCGGGCTGCGGCGTCATGAAGGTGGCCTCGTGCTCGTTGGGGTCGAACTTGTCGCCGGTCGGGTCGACACGCTCCAGGCCATGCTTCTTGAGAGTGTTGAGGAGAATGCCCTCGGTCATCTTCAGACCCTCGTACAGTTGGGCCAGGTCCTTGGCCGTCTCGTGGGCATCCTCCGCCGCCTTGGTCTTGTCCTCGGGCACCATGCTCAGGGCGCGGTCCAGGTTGTCGACCGAGTCGACGAGGTCCTTGGCAAAGGCTTGGATGGCGAAATCCCGAGCCCCCTTCATCTCGCGCGCTGTCCTGTCCTGGAGATTCCGGAAGTCGGCGACGGAGCGAAGGCACTTGTCCTGTGGAGGGGGGAGGGAGTCAACATTGATTTTTTTTTATATTATAGAGCAAACGGGGGACTCATGAGTAAATCATAGTGAAACAAACCTTCCAGTCAAGGGCCTCTTTCTCCTTGGCTTCCAACTTCTTCTTAAGAGCCTCTAGCTCAGAAGTGCCGTTCCCTTCCTTCTTTTCCGCCGCCTCGGATTCTTTGACATCCTTCGCCTCGCCCTCTGCGCTGTACCATCTTGCTGCTACTGTCGGGGTCACTCGAGCAGCTCTTATCCTGAAGGCCGGGCTGGTCTGGAACTGAGAACGGAGGAGTGCTTGGGACGCAGGTGCTTTGGCGGCCGAGCGGGCAGCACGAGTGCCACTAACAAGAGCTCTTTGCAGCATTGTCGCAAAAGGGGGAGGAGGGATGCGTGGATGAAGATAGACTGAGGAGTGAAAGGAAGGAAGAAGTTGCAAAAGGCGAGCTCTCAGAGTGTGTCGCGTGGAATTGGGGAGTTTGATGTTGGGAAGTCCAGATCAGGGTCAGGGTCAATTTGCAGACTTGAGGTAGAGTTGAAATTTTAACGGGGCACCGTTTCGGGGGGCGGGCGGATCTCTGTACCCATATCCATATGTACTTCGTAATTATTACCTACTTCGTACTTTGTATTGCCGGTGCCGGCCCGTGCTTGGTCCGATGCCGTCTACCTTAGGTACCTTACATGTACCAATCAAGCTGAGTCCGTACACGGAGCGGGAAAATGATATCACGAGGAAGAAGAATCCAAAATCTTCCGACCTTATCGATAAGGTACTTTGTACCTCGTAAGGTGCCAGTGAACATGTTAGGGTACTTAACGTTCAGAAACGTTCTGGTGATGCGCCCGAGGAATCCTTATTAGTTCTTCTATCATTTAGCTTTAACCTCGCGCCTCTTCCACCCTTTTGCCTCCAGAAAACTAAATCGACGAAGGCAGCCGCTCATCACCTTCGAATTATTCCCCCTCTCTCCATGCTGCTCTTTCCGAGTGCGTGCTCCTGCCCATAATCCCACGATTCTCGGCGACATCCTTGACAACTTCGGGCTTTCGAAGCGCCAATCACTCAGACAGCCGCGTCGAACACGAAGCTCGGAAGGTGTCCCAAGGAGCGAGCAATCATGGATTATGACGCAATGATGCTGGACGGCGATTCCGCCGGTCCGTCTGTCAAAATTTCTAACGTATGCGCACTTGCCTTGCAGTGACTGGTTTCTCCCTTGTCCTGTTCATCATCATCATCATCATCATCAAGATCACCAGCATACTGATGCTGAACACGCCTCTTAGACCGAGCGCGACCGGGTCGTATTCAGCCTCACCAACTGCGACTTATCCTTCGCCAACTCGATAAGGCGCGTCATCCAAGGCGAGGTCCCCACAGTTGCTATCGACATCGTGGAGATCGAAACCAACACTTCCGTCCTCGCCGACGAATTCATCGCCCACCGCCTGGGCCTCATCCCTCTCGATTCGAAGGACGCCGGCAGCTTGCTCTACTCACGCGATTGCGACTGCGAGCAGTACTGCGACAACTGCAGTGTCAAGATCACATTAGCCGCCAAGTGCACGTCGGACGAGGTCATGAAGATCTACGCCAGCGACCTCGTCGTCGATAGCTACCGCCAGAACGCCACCATCGGAAACCCCGTCATCACCGACCCGGACAAGCTCGGCACCCTCATCTGCAAGCTGCGTCGCGGCCAGGAGATCAAGCTTACGTGCATAGCCAAGAAGGGCGTGGCTAAGGAACACGCCAAGTGGATGCCGACAGCTGCCGTGGGATTCGAGTATGATCCGCATAACAAGCTGCATCATCTCGATCTCTGGTACGAGACGGATGCTGCAGCGGAATGGTAATGCTCTACGTGCCCAACCCTCTCCCAGTGATCCTTTGTGATCTGTTGTAGTGCAATGGTTGCTTACCTCTCTCTTTCTTCTTCTTCTTCAGGCCGAAAAGCAAAAATGCCGACCAGGAGGACCCTCCCCAAGAAGGCGAACCTTTCGACTACAACGCGAAACCCAGCAAGTTTTACTTCGACGTCGAGAGCACCGGAAATCTCGACCCCGACCAGATCATCCAGGAGGGAATCAAGGTCATGCAAGAGAAGATTGCCCTGCTACTGCACTCGCTCACCGGAGAGGCTGAGGAGGGAATGAACGGGGATTACGACGGACCGCGGAGCCCAACTATGGGCCTCGACGAGCCCGGTTGGAATGACCAGGGTTATACTACTCCTTACAACGGCGGCGGCGGCAACATGAGTTCCTGGGGTGGCAACACGACCACCACCCCTTACCATTCTAGCACCACTCCATACGGAGTCCCCGGTCAAAATGGTTGGAGTTGAAGGGGGTGTACAATGGCGTTTCGGGTTATTGGGGGGACTTTCACACGATTGCATAGCGGCGTTAATTCGGCAATAAAAGAGGGGGAGGCTGCCCAGGCGCGGTTTAGGAATCTCTGTGTATAGTAAACCGAGAGGTGAAGATGACTTGCCGGTACGCATTTGACAAAAGATGGGTAATAAAACAGACAAAAATAATCGACATTATTGGTTCTATAATATCTCTGCACGCCCTCTATGCTTTAGGCGTTGATGATCCTGTTGAGAATAGAACATTGTACACATTGGGTCTGACCTGACCCTCGTATTCGCTGCCATGTCATGGCCCGTCAAGCTGAGCATCTCTGGTGCCCTAGCTGCCAAAGGGAGAAGTAAAAAAAAAGAAAAAAGGAGAGAAAAGAAGAGAAAAAGAGAAGGCCGGCCGAACAGAAGTGAAATGCCCATTAACGCCTCGTACCGATGCTGGCTCGTCTATAACATCCATGGCCATGCTATCTATGCATTGATAGGCCTAGGCGGCCTACAACCAGGCTTTGAACCGTCTTGATGCTGCTCCTGTTACAACGCCTGTGGAACGGGATTCTCTATGCCGCGGATCTTTCTATATGCCTTGCGGTGCATCTCTAAAAAGACGAATGTACAAACAGTTTGCCTGTAGCGATTCCCGAGTCAGTGCATCGCTCCCATACGGACTCGAAGGGGTTTGGGAGAGTTCCAAAAGAATAGGGGATTGATAAATTTTGCGTTCTACTCACGGTCCGAGCCTCAGGAAGCTGGGCACCCAGCCCTTGAACATCCATCGCCAGCCTTCATTGGCATAAATGGTGCGAAGGGTGGGGAGGAGACCGTCGGAGGAAGAGACGGTCATGATGCGCGTCTTGATGACGTCGACGGGGCTGGTGACGGTGGCGGCCATGACGCCGGCGAGAACGGAGGCGGTGAAGTGGGTGGTGAGGTTGTCGCGCATGGGGGTGTTGCGGAGGAGCAGGCCCTTGACGGTGTCGTACGAGGCGAGCTGGGAGGCGGTCATGGCGACGGCGCGGGTGCTGTTGGGCAGGGCGCCGCGGAACCAGCTCCGGATGCCTTCCTCGCGGGCCATGCGGACGAGGCCGTCGAAGGCGTGGCGGTAGCCGCGGCGCTCGTGCGGCGGTAGGGCCGCGTCCTGCTGCATGCGCACGTTGAGGACGTCGGCCGGGTTGCCGGCTATGCCGCCGATGAAGCCCGAGAAGGAGGCGATGGCCACGAGGACAGGGAAGGACGGTTGTTGCTTGCTTTTCCCCTTGTCGGCGAGGCGTTTGGTCGCGCGAGCTTTGAGCTCTTCGTAGACGCCGAATCGGACGGTGGAGTAGGTCAGTTGGCGGAGGAGGGAAGCGGAGAGGCCGGCGTAGAGGGCAAGCGGGCCGTCACTTCGGATGATGTGGAGGAAAGTCTTGCTCATGTTTTTCGGGGCATCGGGTCGGCGGACTTGGAGGCGGACCTATAAGGGAAGAAAGTTGGTTAGCCAGGAAAGCATAATAGAGGCGCCTGGCGAGGAGGCAGTGGGTGGCATGTCCTTTGGGGGGGCACTCCTTTTGAGATGCGCACAGAGGGTTCTCGCCTGCTCGCCCGGCACAACAGGGCTACTGCATACCTTCACTATCACAATACGGAGTTAGAATCGCATTGATCCATCGCAGAGGGGGGATACGACAGGGGTAGCTAGCTTGCTGCTGCCCGGCAGAAGAGGGACAAAACGTACATAGGTCGAGGGGATGGGTAACACAGGCGGCCATACTGCTAGCGGTGCCGCCGAACCAGAAGGGATAGTGAATAGCAGGGCTCTTGGCCGCCACAGCCGTGGCCTTTTTGCTTTCCTGGCCAGCCATTTTGACCTGCGACAAATTCGACCGACTTCTGGGGGATGATGGGGGCTATCTTGGCAGACTCCATGCGCAGCCACGATTATTGACGACCAGCGAATTGGACAGGGAGGCGGTCGAGTTGCGTCGCGATAAAGATGTCCATGCCAGGTCGGTCTGATCAAGAGATCCGACTTCGGAGCAGAAAAGGCAAGGTGTGAGAGAAAAGCCCCGTGGGAGTCGCACGCGATCGGTGTCGTTATTTAGCAGTGTGACGTCTCGAGAATTGAAACGGATAAGAAGCATGTGGTCGGGTCGGGAACTTTGTTTCTTTTTCTTTTTTTTTTTGCCATTCTCTGAATCTGATAGGTGGGTCATCTCCACTGCGTCATAACCCCTTTCCCGGTTTATCGGCATTACAGGGCTATAGGTACTGATACAAAATATCACATACAAATCCTCTAGTTATAACTAACTGTGGTACGTATTGATCGACGGACCCCTGTACCGTCGACCATGCACCCAAATTGATATGGAACGGCGTGCATTGGATATTGAAGCTCTTTTCGCGACAACGACTGAAAGTGTCTCCTGTCGTGTACTTCGTCCGGACAACAACCTTCCCTAGGGTTGCCACATAACCCCGTGCCCTTGCTGCGTTGAACATTATCTCAATTGGGGGTGTGCGTATCTGGTCTCCTTTCGACACAAGTCAGAATGCAGAGCAGACAACTGCGCACCTTGGCTCGGAGAGTCTCATGTGCTGGTGCTGTGATACCCAGAGCACATGTGCTGCCGCGGTTGACACCACTGCAACGGCCTCAAATCCACTGCTGGCGTAGCTACTCATCGGGTAGGCAAGATTGGACCCTTTTTGCGGGGGAGAGAGAAAATTTATCTAACTCTATTCGTAGCATCATCGGCTATCTCCAGAAACAACGAGCCAAAGACTGTCGAGGTCAACGGCAAAGAGTATACGACCGACGACGCCTGGTTCAACGTCCCCCCCAACGTCCTCGCTGCCACGTCGCGCAAGTTGCACCTACAAAAAGACCACCCCGTTTACATCACCCGAAAGATTATCGAGTCCCAATTCCCACAACCCACCTACCGCTATCACAACAACTTCGATCCTGTCGTCTCCACACAGCAGAACTTCGATTCCCTAGGCTTTCCTCCCGACCATCCAGGCCGAGCCCGCTCTGATACTTATTACTTCAATAAGGACACCCTCCTCAGGACACACACCAGCGCACATCAGGCACAGACCTTCAAGGCCAACCTCAGCGAGGGCTATCTGGTCAGCGCCGACGTGTACAGGCGAGATGCCATTGACCGGAGTCACTATCCCGTGTTCCACCAGATGGAAGGGGCGCGCATGTGGGATCGGTCAAAGTACGCCGACGGCGCCGTTGCCAACGCGATATGGGCAGACGTGAACAAGCTGCCCAAGCACGACGTTGTAGTGGAAGACCCGAACCCGCCGTACCACCCCGAACGGAACCCACTGCAGGAGGCGCACACCCCTGCCGAGGCCGAGGCCATCGGTGCCCATCTCAAGCGCTCGCTGGAGCTCATGGTCGTTGAGATCTTCACCAGGGCCAAGACGGCCGCCGCAAAGGCCGACCCGGACTACAAGGACGAGCCGCTGCGGGTGCGGTGGGTCGAGGCCTACTTCCCCTTTACTAGCCCTTCCTGGGAGCTCGAGGTCTACTACGCGGGCGACTGGCTCGAAGTGCTGGGCTGCGGCGTTGTCAAGCACGAGCTTTTCGCCAACGCGGGGGTACCGAACCAGCTGGGCTGGGCCTTCGGCATCGGCCTGGACCGCATCGCCATGCTCCTCTTCCAGATTCCCGACATCCGCCTCTTCTGGTCCCGGGACGAGCGTTTCTCGAGCCAGTTCACGGGCGTCTCGGATGACCTGTCCTCGCTGCGCCGCTTCGTGTCGTTCTCCAAGTACCCGGCCTGTCCGAAGGACGTGTCCTTCTGGCTGCGCCCCGTGTCGGCCGCCGGCGGTAACCCCAGGACGAACACGCAGGACTTCCACGAGAACGACGTCATGGAGATTGTACGCGACGTCGCGGGCGACCGTGCCGAGGATGTGCGCCTCGTCGATGACTTTACGCATCCCAAGACGGGCCGCCGCAGCGTGTGTTACCGGATCAACTATCGGAGCCTGGAGCGGACGTTGACGAACGAGGAGACGAATGACCTCCACAGCGAGGTCACCCGGAGGCTAGTCGACAGGCTTGGGGTTGAGATTCGGTGAGCTGCGACATGACATCTGATAGGACGTCGCCGCTTGTGACGAGTGGCTGTGACATCTCCGCTCGATGATCCCCATTGTACATGTACTTTCCCCCCGATGTACCAACCAATGTATCAACACCGGTGTATAAAATACCTCTCACCGACCTGCGAGGCCACTCGGCAAATTCAGTCATCCATGTCATACATGTAGAATATATATCTATCGGTTATACAAGTCAAAGCTGGAGGGTACCTTGAAGAAACTCAACCCATTTCAGGTAGGCGAAAAAACACACCAAAAAAAAAGGAACGGTAACCAGAAGGAGAGCCTACTTGAAGCCTCGGTTATGCACCGAGGCATACAGTCTAAACACTCGGGCCTAAATGGATGGAAATATAAGACGATGTGGCTGCGAAGCGAACAAGGCTGAATAAGAGACATAGCCTCGCGGCTGGGGAGAGGCGCCATCGTAACCAAAAGCTTCGCGGAAGGCGGAGCTTCAGTTCTCAACCAAACGAAGGGGAAACACGTAGCCCAGCTGGCATCGCACCGAAGGCGCACGGCGAATCGAGCACAGCCTCGTTCGCAATCCCCCTCTGACAAACCCATCGCATTTGCTTAGGGTCAACTGAGCATGAACTCTCCGAAGGTCACGTATTCTGATCCGCAGCACCCGACGCCTGTCTACTCCGTAGTTGTTCTGCCAGGGAGCTGTTGGGATCACAATGTCGGGACTAAGACTACCCTGGCCCCTGACCGTGAATGAGCCCCCCCCCTAGACACCGAGATCGAGATCTGTTCCCCCTCTTTTCTTTTTCTTTTTCCTGTCCAAGTTGGATCATGATCATAACACGGGTGTCTCTATCTCTAGTTTCTTAGCGGTCAACGCATAACGCATCGAGATTCGTACGAGGCACATGTGTAGAACTCTGCGTTGGCTATGACTTGCCATACGTCCCGAAGCCATGGCTGGAACGTTGAAGGGGATTGGCGCTCGTTTACAAATGCCAGAGAGAAATATACAAGGCCGCCCAAGGAGGAATGCAAAAGAGAAACGAAGGAAGGACTCGGAAGCATCATGGAGCGGTTCTAGTGGCGCAAAAGAAAAAAAGAAAAAAAAAAAGACTTCTCGAGGGTTCCATGATCCAAAAACTTCCGCTTGTCGACACTGCCACTCTCTGAACTCCCGCCACAAGATTAATCACGTCCAAAACAACCAGGCCCGCGCACTGGCGCTCAGTAGATTGAGTCTAATATTTCTAGTGTCTTTAATGCAGTAGGTATCGAGCTGACGATGTTGGGCGACCAATTCACTCCGTAGTTGTCGATGGAGAAGGTTTAAGCTAAAAGCTCAGGGGGACGAAGTTGTACCCATGGCAATTCACTTGGGTATTTGTACGGGCTACCTTCCATTCACCGCCACGTGGTACAGCAACACTGTATTTTAAGGTACAAAACTGTGTCTCCATGCTGTTATGTAAGGTACTTCGTACACTGCCCTACGCGCTAAGCCCCCACGGCAATGGGACGTGCACATGGAATCCACCATTGGACTGAACACTGCCCCTCCCGCAACTTGCCGCCGTCGCTTTGCTTCTACGTGGTACTTCATACATATATGTCCACCGCCCCTCTGGCCGCCTTCTTCTTTCTCCCTCACACCACCTCTCCTTCTGCGAATCCAAAACATCTGCCTTGAACCACCAAACCCACAGACCGACGTGGCCTTTCGCCTTCATACGAAGACACACAATTACCTACGACTCTCTCCCCTCCCGACCCAGACTAGTTTCTCACCCCTCCTACAAGCGCCGTTTGTTGCATCTCATTCCTGGACCGTTGGTGGCAAATCCGTCCTGACCGACATCGAATTTTATAACCCCTCGCCCGAGATTTCCACTCCCTTCATTGCCCCTGCGAGCGCTTTCCGTTTCGGGAACCGTATCGAATCGTTCACACGCAGCCGACATGGAGAGCACGCCAAGCAGCCCCGCAGACTCTCGCCCCCTCTTCTCTCGCCGGTCCTCGAGCAAGCAGAGTCTCTCCCTCGACCTCTCCAACATCCCACCACTAGTACAACCGACACCCCCTTCGAATACTCTGCTGTTCACAAACCTTCAGGACCTCGACATCTTCCGCCCCGACAACCTACAGACTATCCGTGAGCTCATCGCCCAAACCGCTCCGATTCACGCCTGGTCACCACTCAAGTCCTTCCGCCGCATCGTCGTTTCCTTCTACGATGAGGCCTCCGCCATAGTCGTCCGGCAGATCTGGGACGGCGAATCGATCCTCGGAAACACCCTTCGCGTCTATTTCGGTGCCCCCACCGCCGTGGACACCGACGCGAAGGACCGCCACCTAGCCCTCCCGGACGCCGGCAAGCTCTTCTTCATCTCGCCGCCGCCGTCTCCGCCTCACGACTGGGAAATGCGTCTCGAGGACGCCCCGAACAAGCTGGTGCATGCGGAGGATCTCGCCGAGGCCCTGGCCAGACTGCATCATCATTCCCAGGCCGGTGCCGAGACCCCCGTCAGCCCAGTGGGCCGCTCAACTGGGCCGGCGGCTCCTGGTCAGACCCGAAGCAGGAGCTCTACCCTCTTGTACCGCCCTGACGCCCACGGCACCAGCCCAGACCTCCCGGCTATTTGTCTCGAGGACATGACGGACGAACCGAGCCCCATCGACCAACCCAAGCCCATCATGGCACACACGGCACGGCCACCTGTGGAGCTTATGCACGATGCATGAGAATGGACGATGACTGGATGGAACGAAAGACACAACTCAATTCGTCGGCGGTTAGGGTTTCTGTATCTATTATCTAAATTCGACTAGCCCTGCCAGCAAACAGCAAAGCAACCAAGGTGTGGCCCAGATTCAAATCATTGCATGGCGTTCACGGGGACGGGGAAAGGAAATATCAGGTTATCATTTAGCGGTGGAGTAGCAGCCCGGTGTTGGGAGATGTTCATCCTGATTTGGAGACCGGGTCAAACTCCCACTTGAATCATACAAGGTGCCAATATCGTCACTATTAAGTTGAAAACGAGTCATTTGAAAATAATTACAGGTTAAAAGTTAAAAGCTTTGTCTCGCTGATTAGAGACAGATATCACACAATCTGCTCCGCGGGTGACAGTGGCCACTGGTTGTACGAATACGGTACTTGGATACATACAGTACGTACCTTGGCAGGTCCCCACTAATTTTGTGGTCGGCCAGTTTCATCCCGTTGCTCCGATCCCGTTCTAGAGAATGCAGAACAGGGATCCTGTCGCGGAGCTTGTCCATCGCTTTTTTTCTTCTTTTCTTTTCACCCCTTCCCTCATCCATCGCGAATCCAAAAAAAAGAGACCTCGCAGTTCGCTGCCCATTTTTTATTTATTTACGAGGCCATGATTTGCTGTAGAACGGCCTCTCTGAGGCTCTTCATCCGGAACCTCGCACAAATACACAACTTCGACCTCCCTGCATCCCCCTCGCGGTTTATTCCGGCCTATTCGCCACGGGTAGCACTCTCACATGGACGAAAGAACACTTTCTCGACGTCCGTCATCAGGGCATTAGAAAAGGAGGCGAGTGGGAGCGATCATACGCCTGACGCCGCAAAACATACTACCGACGCGGAATCGGGCACGGTCCTGTCACCAAGAAATCCGCAGCTCGAAATATCGAATGCGGATCCGAATAAGGGCAAACAGAAAACGGAAAAGACGACATTAGACGTGGGCGATACGAACGCGCAGGCCAGGTCTGACCGAGATTGGGAACCATCATCAACGGGGCCAGGGAAGGTAAAGACGCAAGAGGAAAGAGGAAAGAAACAAAAGAAGAAAAAGAAGACGGCCAAGGAGAAGGACGCAGAGGCGAAGCCGCGGTCCAAGTCCGGCGACAGCACGGCCGGGCCGCAAACGGAAAGGCTCGAGCCCTGGCGTGTCCAGAAGGAGGCGCTCAAGGAGAAGTTCCCCGAAGGGTGGCGGCCGCTAAAGCGTCTCTCGCCCGACGCAATCGCGGGGATCCGGGCGCTGCACCAGCAGTTCCCGGACGAGTACGGGACGGCGCAGCTGGCGGAGAAGTTCGAGGTGTCGCCCGAGGCGATTCGGCGGATCCTGCGGAGCAAGTGGACGCCGAGTACGGAAGAGGAGGAGGAGAGGCGGGAGCGGTGGTTCCGTCGCGGCATGTCGGTGTGGTCGCGGTATGCTGAGCTGGGGGTCAAGCCGCCGCGGAAGTGGAGGAAGAAGGGGATCGTGCGGGAGCCGTCGTATCATGAGCGCAGGCGGGCGGCCATCGAGCGGAGACGGGAGCTGGAGGAGGCGGATGCTGGGGCCTCGCTGCAGAGGAAGCTGGGTGGGAAGATTCTGTGAGGGACGTGCATCTGGCGTCTTTGGAGGAGCTGGGGGCGTCACATGGCATGGATATCTACGGGTTGGGCGAGGTTGATGAGGTTTGAATGGGAAGGCACTGGAGAAGGGCGTGAGGGACCGAGATCACTCCATCAGATCTCTGTGTCTCTGTGTCGTGTCCCGTCGCCCCGATTTGTATCTATCTGTACAGTAAGTGGACGGGGATGGTGCGGTGGACTGGGCTGCACAAGATTGTGCGTCTTCTCGGTATCCAGCTTGTAAGATTAAGCGAAGCTCGGCGTCTCACGGTGTAATTGGATGTAGGATATGGATTACGTCGAAGAGGAAAGACCAGTCCTCAATCGTGATGACTTGGTATGCTCGTCGCTGGAACACGACATTGAAGAGGTCTTGAGGGTAAGACCACACCACGCTTGGGCATTGGCGTCCTGGACCTGGACCCTGGCAGACCTCATTTTAGGGGGATACCTTTGTGGCAAGGCTTGCGTCAAGTCGGCAAGCCAGTACAAGTACATTGTTCCGTAGATGTTGACTACCTTATTCCTCACTGAGATGCCAATGGTTATTCAGACTTTGGTATAGCTCTTTTTGGCGATTCTCATTCTTATCATCACATCGTGGTACATGGGTAATTCAGATGAATCGACACAGCGCCTATTGCTTGCCTAATCACCTGCAGTAGGAGAGTTTGCACGTTGTACGTTGTACAGTACTCCGTACGAAGCAAGACGTGCAAGCCGCGTTCCCCCACGCGCAGGATGATTTTCAAGATTTTCAGTGGGTTTAGGAGGTGATGGTCGTTTCTATTGGCCAAAACGCTTGTCGGTATTGGACAATGGGCTATCAGAGTTTGGTGACGAGCCCCACCCAGGCTGTCCTGGGGCTGCCCCTGCCGCCTGAGAACTCCGGTTCGCCGCTAGTCCTCCTATGGTAACCGTACTTTCCGCTATCACCAGGGGTAACAACAGAGGAGGGAAGTGGCAGCAGGGGTAGCTGCCAACCCCAGGCCAAGGAGAGATCCGTGCTGCATGCGACCCCGGCCCCTCTCCCGAGGGAGAAACACCAACCAAACACCACCAACACCACACACTCCTGTGAGATCTCTCCATCTCTCCATCTCTCCATCTCTCCCTCCTTTCAACGATTTCGAAGGGATAACACTACTCGTTTCACACTCTTTTTCTTTCTAATTCTTTTCCCAGGTAGAGCTCAGACATACCGACAGCTCCCGAAAATTCCACCCATCACCCATCACAGATCTTCGAACTTTTATTCTTCTCTTCAGCCGCGGTTTTCCCCCCCTCTTACCAGAAGCGGTGTGCAAATCCGTACCGCTCTTACCTCTGTCTTTCTTTTATTTTTCTTTTCTAATTTTCTGTAAAACTTCGTTTCATCCAAGGCCGCAAGGGTCAAACTTTCTCGATCTTCGCTTATATACATTAATGTCGCTGTATGTCTCTTTCCGTATTGCGCTTCTGAATGGAAATGCCATGGACCGACCCTTTGCTAACGACTTTAAGGTTTCGCCCATTTACCAGCCTTTCGTCTTTTTGCGCACTTGAATCCAGGATTTCTACGGCCGTTTCACTCGTTCTTTCTTCGCTCTGGCTGCTTCGCTTTCCCACATAGAAATCGCAGACTTACCGACGACAACTACCGACTAGTTATCATCCTCTCGGTCGGCTACCTGGTCCCCTAGCAGTATCCCGTCGTATCTATACCCTATACCTCCACCTGCGCCTCCGCTACATTCTGCCAATACCACCGACGGCAATACATTTGAAGACGATACTACCTTGATTTCTTCCTGGCTTTTCCAATTGCTTTTCAATTTGCCCTCCCCGAAACTTCTGACTGAATGATCCTTCGTCAGCAGGCCAGACGTTCCCACCCCGTACAGCGTCCCCCAACCATCACCGCAGCATTGATCCGCCTCCCCCCAAGGCCGCCCCCGAACTCCCGAATGGAAATGCGAATACGATGAACGCCACACCTACCAACCGTCTCAAGCTGACCCCGTCTAATTCTCCCTATCTTCAACGTCCCTCTCGATCTCCCCTGCGAGGGCGTCCCCATCATGAATCTCGCCTCGCCCTCAAGAGGGTGGTAGGGACCACCTGCGTCTCCCCTACCGGTTTTGACGCTGTACAGTCCTCCTTTGCCTATATTGCCGGCGGTGCTGTCGTGGTCGTAGACGTGGACGGGGAACATTATTCGCAACGCTTCTACAGAGCGAGGCCTACCGCTCAGCCCGTTTACGGCGCCACGCACTCTCACTCTGCGTCGGCTTACGCGCCGTCTACCCCCACCTCGACACCCAAAGCCAACGATAGTAGGAACAGAGTGGCCTTGGGCGCCCGTGAATCCTTTTATGGCTCTGTCGACTGGTCCGAGTCCCCTACCTCCAGAACCTGGACCAGCCGCGAGCGCATCAAGGCGGCAACCTGTCTGGCCTTGAGCCGGGATGGAAAATACCTGGCTGTCGGTGAAACAGGCTATGCTCCCCGTGTTCTCATATTTGGCCTCGAAGATAACTCTTCCGATACCCCGCTCGTTTCCATCAGCGAGCACGCCTTCGGCGTCAAGGCTATAGCCTGGTCCGCTGACACTAGGTGGCTCGCCTCACTTGGCACTGCCAACGATGGCTTTCTCTATCTCTGGAGAGTAGATGCTCGGACCGGAGCCGCCAAGCTCCACCAACAGAACAGGTGTACATCCACCATAAAGGGCATGGTCTGGATGGGGAACAATCTGGTCACTTTCGGCGTTCGCCATATCAAGGTCTGGAAAGCCGACGACGCCCAGGCCGTGTCCCCCGTCAAACAAAAGTTCGCGTCTGAGCCCGCCACCGCCTCGCACTCGAACTATTCGAAGAGAAAAGCCCTTCCGGGCCGCAACGTGCTCCTGGGTCCCCTCCTAGCGGCAACCTTCACCTGTGCCGTCGCCGTGGATGACTCCCGCATCGTCGTTTGCTCTGAGGGGGGCGATGTGTGCATTGTCGACGATCATGGGAAACAAGCGAGGCTGCTTCGTTGCATCAATCTCGACTTCCCCGTCGCCTCCATTACCATCCGCCACGCCACCGTTTACGTCGGGGGCAAATCTGGCCAATTTGCCACCCTTAGCCTGAGGGCGGTCCTGGACTGTCTGCCGGAATGTGTACTAACAAGGAGCAAGGCGCGGACTGGCCTCGTCGCCATGGGCTTCTTGATCGAGAATTTAGTCATTATCGACGCAAAACGTTCGATAGACATTTGGAGCTCAAGTTATATCCCCGGTGAGACGGAGGAAGACGACTCTCACATTCAGCTGCCCGGTCACGGAGATCAGATCCTGGGTATTCAGGCTCTACCCAAACCCAACGTTCAGGACGCTGCCTTCCTGACATGGTCGGGGTCTGGGCGGGTAGTTTTCTGGGATCTGGACGGGAGAATCAAGTCGTCCCTCCATGTTCCCCTCGAACAGGTTGTCCCTGAAAACGACATGGACACCGGAAACCAGCTCAACATCGTCCGCGCCACTAGGGCTGGGAAGCTTCTTCTGGTGGGAGACAAGCTCGGAGTCCTCAAGGTCATCGATGCCAAGACCCAGCAGTGCTTGCTGGAGACCAAAGCCCATGCCGCGGATTGCCAGTCCATCAGCGTCTATGAAGACGATTCGAAGTTTTTAATGGCCTCATGCGGAAGGGACCGAACCACCCAGCTGTTCCACCGATCATCCCGAGGCGCCATCGAACATGTTCAGACGCTCGATTCGCCGGCCAAGGTGGTCAAGGTACATATGCCATCCGACAGCAGAATTATCACCTGTTCCTTGGATAGATCGATGCAGATTTACGACGTAGTCCGCAAGGAAGAAGACCCCAACGCGATCGCGGCTCTCAATTCGCGACACATCGCCCTGAAGGCATCCCCGACCTCCTTCGTCTTGGGCGAAGGCGACAACACGGCTTTCGTGTCCATGCTGGATCGATCCGTCTGTCAGTACGATCTCGCTACAGGCAAGCAACTCTCGTCTTTTCGCTGCGTCGACGAAAGAGGCGTGGAGGCCGCAATCCTCGATTCGTTGACTGCAAGCCCTTGTCCTGGCAAGGAAGGCGGCATCTTGCTGGGGTTATCGAACACAGACAAATCCGTCCGATTATACGACGCCCAAACCGGTAGCTTTATAGACCGCGAGTGGGGACACACGGAAGCCATCAATGGCGTTGCACTCGTCGATGATGAAGACGGGTATCAGAACGTCGTCAGCGTGGGCTCGGACGGGACCATGATGCGCTGGGGCATGGACATGCAGGAATACTCGCCTGGTTCGACGAGTAGAGATCCGTCGCCCGTAAAGAGTGCGGATTCCGTTTCGGCCCGTCCTCCGCTGCGACGCGTTCTTTCCAAGGCGGAACTGGCTGAATTTCAGCGACCCTCCCCGACGACTGGCCGCCGCTCACCGCCCAGGACTTTGAATCGGCGGACGTCGCGATATGGTCTGAACCTGAACAGTGCTGTCACTCCAAAAGGGACTCACCAGTCCAGCCCGTCTGGTACCATTGCCGAAAACGACACCCCATGCCGTCGTCTGTCCTCTAATAGCCCCTCCAATAGTCCACCCCAAAGCCCGAAATCGCGGGTGTCGAGGCGCCCGTCGTTGCCGGCCCTCAGCATCAACTCTCGAAAGAAGAGTTCGCCTAGCCTGCGAAGCGGCGGCGCAGGCGGTCCCTTCGGATCCCTCAGCATGGCCACCGAGCAGGCCTGCCGCACGTTGCGAGCATATCGGAAGAAGCTTGCGTTGTCAGTCGAGCCCGTGAGCGAGGAGGCGCTCGCAGAGCTTGGCTCGGAGCTCCGATTAACGGCCGCCGCTTTGAGCGACCGCGCCGTTAGAGACAAGGCCATCAGTGACTCGGTCATCTCGGGTCTCGTGGACCAGTTGGGGGAACACTTTGCTGACCAGGTTAATGGCCAGGACGTGCCAGCCACTTCCCCCCTGCCCGTGTGTGAAAGATGAAGAATCTAAGCCGGCGGATAAAAGGAGGTTATCCGCTGCTCTTTATTTATTATCATCACTACTATATTCCTGTTATTATTTCGATAGTGATACCCCCTAAAATAATTAGTGACTCGGTTTTCAAAAGACAATTGCCTCCGCACAACCTTCGGATTCGGTCTTTGGTGATCTGCTTGGAAACTCAAAACTCACCGTGTCATAATGTCTGCATCTTCAGTATTCGGGCTTCCTTATATTGTCGTTGGAAACCATATCATTAACTCGAAGGGGGCAGATACAAGCCGGACATCTGGCGCATGATGCATCTTTCGTCCTTACCTAACTTTAGACATGTGTAGAGACAGTACGCAGTCAGGTTCTGAGCCCGCATCCCACAGCGACCCGACGTCGACATTTTGCCAGCTTGTCCATGAGATGATGTATTCTGAGTTTCTATTCGTGTCTGCACTACCGCGTAGATTATATGTGTCTCTCTTCCCGTAGGTATGGAATCGCTAGGCATGGTAAGAAAGCTGAACTTGAACCCAGATTCTAGGGTCCTCCGCCCCTTCATGTCCACTCGTTTGGGGAACCTTTCGGATGCCACCGTCCCCCTCTTCTGTCTCTGTGGTCTGTTGAACGTGGGGATGTTCACTAATAATGACATCTCAGACAACGAGACCCTCCGAAACGGCCTCGTCCCTCTCTAGCTTCTCGAGGCCGGTGGCTGCGGCACCGTACACGCGCAGCGGGACGGCGACCTCGAAACTCTCGCAGGCAATATTTTCCACGGCTACGAGGACGAGGCCGCCGCGTTCGTCGCGGGAGATCTCCTCCAGGAGCGGATGAGCGCTTGTGCTGCTGTCCCCGGCCCCGACGCTCGGTTCGGCAGCGGCTGCCACTAGAGGGACGGCTGCTTCCTCGGCCGCTTCGTCGTCATCTACGGCGGATTGGGAGTCTTGGTGACCTCGTTGCTGCTGCTGCTGCTGCTGCTGTTGCTGCTGTTGCCTCTGGGCCTCGGAAATGTTGGACGCGGCCACCTCGGTGCTGGGCACGACGAATTCGATGCGAATCTTCCACTCGAGAGCCACGCCGGAGGTGACGAACTCGGGTGACACGGAGATGGGGATGGTAGGTGTGAAGGTGAGACGACGGGCGTAGAGCGCGGCGTCGGACGAGAACGAGTGGACGCGGCGGGTGACGCGGTGGACGGAGGCGTCGGAGCGTAGTGCGAGTTGGGGGTCCACGATGCGTTCCGCGGACTCGAGGGCGCAATGGATGGCGTAGCAGGGGATGTCGGCGTTGGAGAAGTCGATGGTCATGATGACGGTTTCGCCTAGGCGGTAGGCGGGTCGTGCGATGGTTAAAACGCCGACGCGCTGGCCGTTGCGTGCGATTTCGAAGCGGTTGGGGCTCTGGCCACCCTCGGCGGCATAAGCGCTCCGCATGATAGCTAAATCGATCGCCTCCTTGGCCGAAGTGGCCTGTTCGAAGGCCGACGGTCGGCGGGAGCTGGGCATCACTGTCGGGGACAGGAGGCCCGTGTGGGTCCCGTCGCGAGGCCGGTGCAGAAGATCGTCTACGTAGGTGAAAAAGTCGGCCATTGATGAGCCACTGGGTTGTGGCGCCGTCTTGGCTCGTGGATCAGGTGTCACGGCTTTGTCGATGATTCTGACGGTAGCCTGGTCCCGGAGTAGGACATAGGGGTTCATGAGGTCGTGGCCGAGGATTTCGCCGTGGCTGTTGACGCTACCGAGCACCCTGAATGGGATCTCGACGGTTCGTACTTGTTGTTCCCTTGTGCCACCGGCGCGCTGGGTGCCGATGACCAGGGTATAGGCGATTTTGATGGCCTTACCCCTGTGCGTCGGCGGCAAGCCTCTCGGGAGCTGGAAGGAATATTCGAAGACGCGGCTCTCGCCTGGCGCCAATTGCAGGTCGACGAAGAGGATGGACTGCGGCGTGGACAACAGCGGAATGGATTTGGACTTGGCGATCCCGCGCATGTCTTTGATGGTGCTCAGCTCGCCAGTTCCCAGCAAGTCCCCCAATGAGGTGCTGATACTGCCCCAGCCGAAGCCCCGAAGTAGTCCTCCACCCTGCTTGTTTGTGTCGATACCGACGACACCGCCCCCTTGGCCGCTCACTACGGCCTTTCGTTTGACGTGCTCAAACGGCTCCAGATGTATGAGGGAACCGTCTAGGGTAAAGGAGCCTTGTACTTGTGCGTAACCCATCATGATGTTCTCTGGCAGTTTGGGCTGTTGAGGGCTCATATTCGAGCTCCGGCGCATGTGCGAAGGCCGATGGTGGCCTCGCAAGGGTTGTTGGGCAGGGTATTCCGAAGCCAGCGTCTCGGAGGAATGGTTGCTCATGGAGTAGAATTCGCCGCTACTCCGTGGCGTCCCGCTTCCCATGCTCGTCGAAGATAGTATCCGCATGGCTGGTGTAGGAGGATCACGAGAAAATGTCGGGGTCGAGGTCGGCGTGGTATCCTTCGGGCGTGACAAAGAGGGATTGTCGGCACGTGGGCTCAGGAAGTTGTCGTTTACGTGAGATGGGGTGTTCTTGTTCTCTTCGTCTTGCGATTCGGCGGTGGGCGACGGTGCCATGGGAAATTTGAATTCAGACAACGCAGAGGACGGGGACCTGGATTGACGGAATGGACCGCCAATGGCGGGTGTATTCGGAGCGGTGGCCGAGTGAGACGATCGGGGATGTCGGTCAGATATTTGGGACGACTGCATGAATGACGCTCAATGGATGTCAGCATGCGTGGGTGTAGCAATAGAAACAAGGGCAGGAGATGAGGGAAGAGCAAGGTGTTACCTGAATGCGGCCCAGAGATTCCCAAGCCCACGCGGGGAGCAATTTGCAAGCTTGAAGCACGGGCATGGCCCCGACCAGGTCGTTGCGGTCGCGCAGTGCTGGCAATGCTGTGGGTGTCATCGGCTGCGGTGCTGGCTGAGCCTACGGAGACGATGGAGATGGAACGTCTGTGGCTGGGGCCCCGGTTATCGCTCGATTTGGGCGGGTGAGGGGGAAGCTGCGGCGGCCATTGCGTCGAACCAGGGCGGCCACGGGAGTACCCGGCAGGTGCACTCAAGGAGAGGGCGGAGCGGTGACCTCGAGTCGGACCATGGGAGGCGGAGGAAGGGGTAGCTCCGGCGATAGGCTTCCCCCGTTGTTGTAGGGGAGAAAGCGGGGAGAGTGGAGAGAGATGGCGGGGCCGTTCGGGGAGGTTGAGGTTGAGCTGGCGCTGGGGATGCTTCTGCTGGTTGGTGTCCTGAGCAACGTTCTTGAAGGTGATTGTGCATTTGATCTCTTCGCCGGCAAAGACGGGCTGGTTATCCAAGCGGACGAAGACACGTATATTGCCCTCGGCGCCGCCCGAACCCATCGTGACGCTCGTGTAGGGCGACGAAGGGGTGAAGAAGGGTGAAGAAGGGCGAAGGGAAGGGAGACAAGGGAACCGGGCCGGTAACAAGCAGCTAAGCGTTATCTATCTAGAGATTTCATGGCAACGTGTTTGTCAGAGGATTCGACGACGACTCGAGGATAATTAACGAAGAGACTAGGATGGATGGCAGCTGTTAGTAGCTGTGAACGTCATGTTGGTGGTCGAGGTTGGACTTTTGGGGGGGGGGGGGGAGGTCAATGGCAATGAGGTCAAGCTGGACAAGGTGGTCAAGGCACCTTGGGACCTATCAAGGGCATTTATTATGTAAGCATTCTGGTACGGGTGTACGAAGTAATTACCTAGTAGAAATCCTTGAAAATCTGTAGAATTCTATACACTACCGGAGGACAAAATAATAATCTTCCTACTCATAACAATGAAGTCCCTAATGCTACAATAAAAGCAAATAATAATGGTAATAATACAGTTCAACCTTAAGAAAGTGTAATTTATTAATAAAAAGAAAGAGATTCAAACTCTTATATTTTCTGATGTATCAAATATTTTTTTTTTCAAAGAATTTAGTAAAAGATCCCTAGAAGCGGTCAAGTTTATTTCCCATTTATTTATACATTATTTATTTTTATCCTAATAAAATGCAATAAGTTTGCTTTTTTATTATGATCTCTTCTAGTTATTAAAATAGAATATTACTAGCAGGTGCATTTAGTAATACTGTTCAAGGAATAGAGGGAATTATTTGCTGGTATATTTATAGCGTTTGCTGTAAAAACTCCTCACCATACCTTAATTAAAGGAGATAGAGGGGGAGCTTTATACGGTTCTATTGCTACAGTTATATTAGCTTAATTGATTTGGTAAATTCTAAATTAGTTTATTATAATATTCTGAAGACATTATTCATTCAATATCAAAAATATAAGCTCATAAATTATTGATTAAAAATGAGCACTCCTTCTCCCGAAGTTACGGTAGTTATTCTGTTATTTATTTGCATAGCGTATACATTAACGGAAAGTTACGTAAGCCGTGGGATCCGAAGGCGCCCGCTACTACCTTCCGCGCCTAGGATTAAAACGTCTGAGCCCGCTCAGAGAGCATAAAGAAACTTTCTCCAGATCATGTACAACAAGGCTTAGTAGATCTGCCTGGGTATAAATACCAAGACCTAATCCCAATTTGGTATGAGTTCTTCAACAGAACAACAGATCCTCCTAATTGACACAATTCCTTATATAATTTGCTAGGTTAGTCTTGTGTTTTCACAGGCCATTATGTACGGTGCATGGGTCATGAACTCTCGCAGCTGCCAACTGATCACCTGTACCGGGGTTCGTGTAGCGTGTCCTGGTGAGACCCAGTGCTTCGGTACCGCGAATCTGCAGTCCGAAGTACGTACCATGGTACCTAAGGTAAGGTATCTATTCGACGCGACAATCGTCTACAATCGTCGTGACTTCGATCTGTTCAACTTTACTCCGTAAAGGTAGGTTGGTACATCATTAGCTTATATAAAGGTACCGACGGAGTAGGAGCTTCACTTAAGGTTTCATATAACGGAGTACGGAGTACTAATTACCTTGTAGCTACTGGCTCTTTCTCTTCCTACCGTCCCCGATAAATAAGGTACCCAAGTCCGAGTCACCCTGGTTAGGCACAGGGTTTGGCTTGCTCTCCCCATGTCCAATGTCCGCATCCATATTTCCCCCCCACTTCCTTTCTCTTCTTGTTCGTCTCACTCTGACCGAGCGTTTGACCCTCACCAGTACATACCACACCTTCTCTGCTCCATAACCCTCCAAAGCTCGCCATGGCTATCATCGAGGCCATTCCGGGCCTCGAAGTGTCAGTGGACGTCAATGGCGAACGCGCCCAGGAGTATGACGATGCCGACGGTTTGGAGGAGGACGTGAGCACGAGGAGAGCACGGTATCGGAGGTTTGTATACATCGAGTCCAAGAGCGACGCTCTCTTCTCCGTCAAACTGCGCCTGCCGAATACCATAAGGCTGTCCACGCCTTCTAACGCCCTAGCCTACAAGATTTACGTGGATGGCGCAAACAAGGCTTACTACACGCACTTCCTCAACGGTGGTCTTGATCGCCCTCATGTGATTGACGGCGCACATGATATGGATCCGGCCACCGGCCAGGTTCTGCTGAAGAAGTTCAAGTTCGCTCCCGTCACAACCGGTAAACAATGACTCCGGAAGAGTTCGCGCCACATTCCAGGGCCGCACTTGTACCCGCTGTACCCCGTCACCCCCCCGGAGGAACCCTCCTTGTGCTGATATCGGCCCTACGAAATATTCTAGTCGACGATGCCGACGCGGCACGTGTGAGGAACGATGTCCAAGCTGCGAAGAATCTCGGTGCTATCCAGGTCCGATTCTACCGGGTGAATGCTGAAACCACTCCACATGACATCAGAGTTCATGTCTCGGTTCCCGACGGCTCCAGCGAACTGGCTGAAAAGGCTCTCAAAGGCCGCGCAATTTCACATAAAGCCTCGTACGTTATCAGGGGCCGGGCAGAAGAATACCTGACCGAGTCGTCAAAATTTCTTCCCACCTTCTATCCCATACTAACTGCGCTCATAGACACGTTAACGGCGGCTATGTGCGACCACCAAAGGCAGTAAATATAACCAAACAGATAGATAAGGAACCTCTGGCTGTCTTCAATTTCAAGTACCGATCTCGTGGTATGTGTTCGTCTTTCGCCTCCCCTTTCGACCACGGTAGAACTACACAGCTTCACGCGCGCGGAGGATTCTCTTTACCTGTTTCCTGACCTGGATGCTGCACAGAGGCTCTGCGGAGTGAATTGGTCATTCCGCGGTCCCTAAGTCCGAATCCCGTGGAGAGAACGTCACCAGATAGGATTCGTGGCGCAGGAGACGTCCAGGAGACACTGGCTTCGAGGGTCAAGTCCCCCCCTTCCCTCCTTCTTCTCCCTCTTGTGCGTTGCCGGCGTCTGTTGAACTGACTCGACATGAAATAGGAGCCTGCCATTGTGAAACGGGAACAGAAACCCCGAATTAAGAGAGAGGTAGATGAAGTACGTGACTTCACAGCGATTCGGTCCGAGAGACAATGGAAATATGTCAAGCTTGAGAATGGGACACGGGCCGTGGATCTCACCGACGATGACTAGCGCGAATGTTTCTTTTTGCCGGGGACTATGAAGACGAGCACCTCAGATATCCTTTCTCGTTGGAGACTGTTATATGAGGCTTGGGTGGTATCTAATTAAGAGGGGTAGAAAAGTGTTGAATGGCGTACAGTATCTATTTAGAACATTGCTGGGACACCAATTGGTCGGTTTTGACGGGCCCATTTTATGTATTTTTTATTTTTGGTCGGCTTACATTTTTAATTAACTCGTTATTCCTATCATCTTCAGGAGTATATATGCGCCTTTACTATACCTGTTCGTAGTATAATTTTGCCATTTCTCTTTTCCTTTTTGTCTTTCCTCCCTTAACCTGAGCTCTATTCGAACCTCCAACCGCCCAGCTGGGCACGTCGAAGATCTGACACCATCCGGCATGCCCCATTTGCCCCGCATAAGCTATCCCCTGTGCGGATTGTGCGGAGCATATGCCGTGCATATGCCCCATCATCTCCTAAGTCCAGGTACCTTCGCCGCAGAACCAGACAAATAAATACCTTAGGTACCTTATCCGAAAGTGCGGATACACCCATCCAGCCTCGAATTACGGTGGTAGCTGGAGAGACGACAAGACCAACTTGTATATAAGATACCCAAAGTCTTGATACGGGTACACAATTCCCTCACAGTCCTTACTCCGTAAGGTACCTAATCCTCGCCCATCACCTGATCACGTTCCCGTTCATCTTCACCCACGTCCACTCCCACACCCCACGCCCGGGTTCTTCGCCGCCCTCTGCTTCTTTTCTTCCACAAGAACTTTCACGGCCACCTCGGCGGCCTTCGTCTCGACCTCTTCTCGCGAGACACCCCCGTCCAATTCGACCACGCATCGCGTCCCGACCATGATTCGGCACTGCCAGTTCTTCCCACCAAAGGCCGACAACACCCCTGGGACGACCCCCTCATTCTCATCCATCACCCCGTTCCCTTCGTCGTCCGACCCATCCACCCCGGTCACGATGTACTTGACCTTCTCCTGGTCGGCGAGCCGGCCCAGTTCCTCCTTGGGATGCAGCACGTGGACACCGTCGCTGATGAGCCGGTCGAGCACGCCCAGGATGCCGAAACGGGCCGCGACGGCCTCGCAGGCGGATAGGTCGCCCGAGTCGACCCAGACGGCGCCGAGGACGGCCTCGAGCTGGTCGGAGACGAATTTGGGGGTGCGTAGGCGCGCCAGGAGCGCCCAGGGGTAGCGCGTCCCCTTGCGCAGGGCGGCGAGGATCCGCGAGCGGAGCGCAGCGTGTCGGTGTTCCAGGGAGGGCTGTTCGGCTGTGATGTTCGGGGAGTTGTGTCGTAGGAACTTCCACAAGGGAAGGGGGTAAGCTTCGTGTTTCAAGGTCGGCTTTTTCGAAGGAGTGGACGGTTCGTCGGCCAGGTCTGATATGTCGCTGATGCCGACGGCATTGTCGGTCTCCATTGCGGCAACTGGCGTGGAAAATGGCGACGGTGGTGGTGATTCCGGCCCAATCGGGCTGTTTCCACCGCTGGTGCTGACAATGACTTTGTCTTGGTCGATGTGGTGCTCTAGGGCGAGAAAGCCGAGAAGGTCGCCGTTCACGGTGGCGCTTTTGAGGAGGTGCGTCGCGCTCGGAGGTAGGTTGAGCGGATAGAGGCGCGATACGACAATATAATCGAGCACAGCGTCGCCCAGGAACTCGAGGCGTTCCAAGGTCCGTAGCGGGAAGCTGTCGACCCCATGGTAGGATGCGTGCGTTGTCGCCTCGACGAGGAGCGCCTTCTTTCGGAACTGGTACCCAAGGAGATCCTCGAGGGGGGCCAGGGTGGGGGGAAGAGGAACATCAGATGGTGCATGGTCGTAAAGGAGCTTGCGGCATTCGTCGGGACGATGCCATTCGATGTCCGGCAGGAAGAGGGCTATGCACGACAGGGATCTGGAGAGCCCTCCGTCTGCGTGCACGGCACCGATGAGGGCTTCTACGATGTCGGCGAGCGTCTTCGAAGACACCTGGCGAGGACCGCTGTCTGCCGAGCCGCCGTCCAGAAGGGCGTCCACATAAATGGGCCGCCACTTATTCCCCGTGAAAGGTCGAGTAAGGAGGAACTTGTCCAAGCCACTCTCGACTGCTGCTTTACAGAGTCGCGAGTTGGAGACGAGACAATCTTTCATAAGCGCGAGATACCCCTCGGGCAAGTCAAGATCTGTAATATAAACCTTTGTCAGCTTTCGAATGCGTCGGAACATTTTCATGGCATGCAGAGAGCGTGTGCGTGTGTGGGAAAGGGGAGAAAGAAGAAAAAGAGGAAGAAAAAAAAAAGAAGAAAAAAAGGAAGAAAGGAGCCACTCACGTAGAGCTGCGACGTTGATGGTGGCGCACATTTTGAGCAGCGAGTCGCCGAAGAATTCAAGGCGCTCATAGTCTCCCGGCTCCCGAGCGCTACGTGAGCTAATGGCGTCCACCACCAGGGACAAGTCGGATATGGAGAGATCTCGGATGACACTGCAGGAAAGCTGTTTCGCAACCATTCTCACCTCGACGTGATGGAGGATAGAGGGGATGCAGGCCCCAAACAATGCGTGACGCGATGGAATCGAATCAACCCTTGCCCAGGGCAGTGGGAAGACCCGAGCGTAGGGTTTTGTGCTCGCCTGTTCCTGAGTCGGGTCGCCCGTTTCCCGGTGGAGGAAGTCGATTCGTCGAGACCACTTCTTGAGAGCCAGATAGGCAACGTCGTCCGGAGCGTCAACAAACCCAGGCATATCTCCGTAGCCCCGGAAAGCGCGCTGCACCTGGTCCTGCGAGGGTTTCTTCTCGAGTACTTTCTCGTATTTATAGGGACAGCCGGCGAAATCTCTGATCAGATACTCGGAATCGGAATCCTGGTGCATAAACTCGTCCACATCGAAAGGTTTAGCTCCCAGCTGGTCAATGGTAAGATCCCCTTCCTCGGAAACGAATCTAACAACATGCCGGCGGTCTTCAGAAGGCCATCTGTGGCTGAAGGGAAGAGCCAGGAGCACTGAAGCGTGGTCTATGGTCGAAGTGGATGGGACGGAATGCTGCGCCCCAAACTCCACGGTCCAGTGACTGCTGCCTCGCTCAATGTACATGAGGGTCGGAGGCAACTCGGGTAGCGCGATGGGGGTGATCATGGAGTAGGACCCCCTGCAGATGCCATGGGGGTCCATGAAGCGCACAGGGGTAGCCCAGAGGACACCGGGATTCTCCCAGGCTCGCGCCACTTCGACCCATGGATTCACGAGACCGTTGATTGATACCAGCGCCTTAGGCCGGCGTTCGATGCTGGGCATCATGTCCTTTGCTTTGAGCGGCAGGAGATGGTCGTTGAGAAGCTTGGCCGTGTAGAGAGCGGCGTAGGCCTGGAACGCAGCATCCTTGATGGCGTTCTTCTCGGTCAACCAGGCGTTCCGGCTCTCGGCAATACGTACCGCCTCCGGTACGTACGAGGGGAGCAAGACGGTGGCTTTCAGGAGCGGGGAATCTCCGTCCCAGACATTCTGGATAATGAAGTCGGGCTGTGAATCGACGTAGCGATCGGGAGAAAGCGTGGCGCAGAAGTGCTCCAGGTGTGACTTTGCAGTGTCGTAGTCGATCTGGGCTCCGGTGGATTCCACCACCAGGATTTCCGATGGCGTTGGCTCGGAATCCTCTATTTGCCGCAGACGTTCAAGTTCCCGGTCTTGGTCTTCGTATTTGCTCTTCATCTGGGCCTCCATCTGCTCCCAGGATTGGAGTAACTTTGGAGGGTTATTGAGATCCACGAGGATTACGAGCCTCGAGTCCTTCTGGCGGGCTCGTCCGCGTCTCTGGATGAAGGACTTTAGGTTGTCGGGCGGATCAAAGCAAATCACCAGGTTGCAGGCAGGGACGTCGATTCCCTCCTCGAGAACATTCGTGGCGACGAGGAGGTTGATCTCGCCGTCTCGGAAACGCTGCAGAGACTGGAATTCTTCGGTCCGGGAGAGGTCCCAGATGTCCTTCTTCCTGGCGGCATATTGGGAGACTCCCACCACGACGCCGACGCGGGGATACTTGTGCCGGGTCAGGGGGTGGGTGGCAAGAAGGTGAGCGAGAAGCGTTGCTGTGGTCCTTTCTTTGACGAAGACGATTCCGAGCGTATCGTCGTCTCCCAGCAAGAGGTGCTCCATGAGCAGAACGACTTTCTCCGACACGGCGTCTCGGGTAAGATCCGCCTCGGTCCTCTTTACGGGCTTGATCTGATTCAGAGCTTTGGCAAGATACTGTCTTTCGTCCTCTGTCCAGCTGACGAAGTTGGGGTCGCGTGTAACGAGCGCTGACTTGGCGTCCTCGGTCACCTTCCAGACGTAGTACTCGGCAGCCCAGCTGCCCAGTTCTCGCAGCAGCTGTGAGCTCCTATAGGTGAAAGTCTTGAGTTGATTTTGCGTATAGGTATCCCATTTGTCGAGAACACGCTCGAGTTTCCTCAAGCTGCGATCCGTTCCTTGGTTCGCTAGGTGCAGGACATAGGGGTCCTCCAGGATGTCGAGGCCTTGGAACGTGGCGCGAAGACTGAGCAAACTTCTCGGTGTGTCCATGACTGGCTTGGATTCGTAGTAAGCCAGTTCCAGTGCAGGCTTCTTGACGTGGGACATAAGCTCCCCCCGATGAATCGTTGGACTCTTGCATACTGCATCCAGGGCCTTCTCCAGCATCTCGAGTCCGTCAGATCGTGAGCCCATGATGGGGCTAGCTGTCAACCCCAGAATATGTGGTACTGGGAGGCCCTTTCCCTTGTTGTCGTGGTAGAACTTCTCCATAATCCGCTTGCCGACGTCGTTCTTGACGCAGTGGTGAGCTAGTTCCCCACCAGGTCAGCGTCTACGTAAGAACATAGAAACACAGAGAGGAGAGAGCTGAATCAGTGGAATGGGAAAAGCTCCGAACCTTCATCAAAGACAATCAGAGAGAGCCTCTGCATGGTGACAAAGGCGTGGCTGAGGGCATCGTACAGAATCTGAGGGGTCGATACGACGATACGTGTGTTAAGCAGGATAGTATCCCAGGTCTCCTGGTCCGACCAAGCATCAACATTATCTGAACCGAGAAGTAGCCTGGTCTGAGTAACAGGAATCTGGGTCTTGATCACATCATGCTGTTGAGAGCAAAGGGCCACTGTGCGTGCCAAGAACCAGATTATCTGAAGCAAGTTAGGGATATGGGGCTTCAATTCATAGCCAGTCAAGAAATATTGGAAACTTGCCTTGTTCGGATCTTCCCTTTCAAGCTCTCCCCTCATGCGCATCACAGCACTGTAGACAGAATATATATGTTTAGTGCCTAAAATATTGTCTATGAATAGCGTGAAAAAGGCCTGGAGATTAGACGCACACCTGAGTCTTGCCGCTACCAGTGTCCATCTTGGGGAGGCTGTTAGCAATACCGTATCCAACTGGACTTAGGCCAGGGGAGACACATGGCTATACCGCAACAATGATGTTCTGTTTCAGGCTTTCTGCCAACATCTCTAACTGGTAAGCCCGAGGGTTGATTTGAGCGGAAGCCGGGTCATGGGGCCGGGGCGACACGGTGGAGTCTGAGGAGTCGTCTTCAAAATCCCAGTTACTCGAGTTTTCGTCGTCTAAGGATGGCTCGAGTTCCTCGGAAGAGGAGAAGGTGTCTGAGAGGTCGGCCATAATGACGCGTGGGTTAGGAGCACAGGTGCGCGCTCCTTATTCAATGATAAGAAATAATGGGTGAGAAGTGGTAAGGTAAGAAAGAAGTAGGCACAACACGAATGGTGCAGTTGTAAAATGTGAAATATGGCTGAGAAGAGAAAAGGGGAAAGAAGGACGTGACTGTCTTCCCTCATGAAAATTAACATCAGACCTAGTATTTAAACTGGTACACAGGTAAAGGCAAACGGTGACTTTGTAGGTAGGTTATGCAGGAGGCCAACCAGCACACCACTCAGCCTGCCACTCAGCCTACCAAGAGGCTAACCGAAACCTGTTAGAACATAGGATAATGCACAGAGTAATACAAGGATCTTCCATAGTTTCGGTAAGAGACACAATAAACGAAAGTAGCGGATAAAAGACTGAATAGATCACTTAACAGAATAAGGCTATGATGCTGTTGGACACACGGGTGAGTGAAGGTAATAAAGAGGGGTTGATGTTGATCAACACAAAAGGAGAACAGGGAGGTTGCAGCACCAATGAGGAAATACGAACAATTGCCAGCTGTCATCAACTGACTCTCCTGGAATTCCCATCCGTCGCTGGACCGCGGAAGACCATAAGGTAAAGGGAAAGTGGAAATACTATGATAGAGAACCTCCATTCGAAAGACATGGGTACGATTCTGGCCCTCATCTACACAGTCACGAATGAACAGCCCGCCTTTATGCCAATGCACCCCGTCAGCGGACTGCCCGCTGGAGTTTGTTGTCTTTCGTGTTGTATTCTGTTACCGCATCTCTCCCACAACAACCGAAGCGACTCGAGGCCCGGACTCTTGTCTGTGACATGTGATGTAAGAACCATCGGACTTGCGCTTGTGCTCTGCCCAGTCCCTCTCTATGCCTATGCCTTCTGAACTAGATATGGTACACGACATGCGGCGGTGAAAAAGCCCTCGCCAAACGAGGAAGCCTACTACAGATTCGTCAGGTAATCCTCAATTTCCTGAGGACTCAGCTTCCTGAACCGCGGACCCTGGGCGCCCTCCACGCCCTCAATACCGAGGAGATGGTCTGCCGGAGGCCCGACAATACCTGTATTGGTCGTGGTTAGCGAAATCACTCTGACACAATCTTCCTGTTCCCCGCCCCCTTGTTTTTTTGTTATTTTCGAGAGCCAAGAGATTCTCAACTTACCAATCTCGATGGTGTCCCCCGTCATCTCTCCCTCAATAGTCTCCTTGAGCGTGAGCAGCGCAATATGCACGGCATCTTCCAGCTCCAAACCCTCCGTGTACCTCTTCTCCAGGAACGTCTTGGCCGATGTAGCGCTCTTGCCGATGGCTGTCGCCTTCCAGGGGAAATAGCTGCCCGACGGATCAACCTGGTACAACATCGGCCCGCCCTTCAACGTACCACCCGTCTTGCCAGTTGGCTTCTTCTTCTCCTCGTCCTCGACCGCGTCCGCGTCCTTGACTTCTTGTTCCTCCTCGGGGAGAATCCCCTCATCCCAGCCTGCGATCAGCAGACTGACACCGTACGGCCGGACACCTCCCGACTGCGTAGCCTCCTGCATGACGCGGGCAACGTCCTGCACTAATATCCGAGTCGGGGGGTACTCGTTGTAGATGCGCTTGTAGCCCGTGTGCGATACTTTGCGTGCCTTATCCACCAGGACTCGGTAGTCGGGTCCCATGCCCGAGTAGACCATGCCGATGTTCGGGGTTACGAGACTGATCTTGGAAAGGGAGCTCTGATCGGCCAGCGGTGACGACGACTTCTTCTCGGTTGCCAAAACAATGCCATTGGTGGCTACCTACTGTCAGCAGAAGTACTTCGTTTTCCGGTGGACTTCCGACGAGGATGAGTAGCTTGCCTTTGATACCCAGGGCTGTGACGCCTTGGTTGACAGCATTGAGTGCATACTCTGTGGAGGGCAGGTTAGCAAATCCCCCCTATGAGGCAGAACAGCATCGCGCCCCGCCATGTCAAGGCTCCATGCCATACCAATTTGCACCAGCTTTCCACTGCGGCCTGTTAGTTTCGGAAACTCAATCCATATCAGAATGGAGCGACCGCTCACCTGGGCGAGAATGTCGTCAACGAGAACGAGTACCGGTCCGCCATGTCGAGGAAGCAGTCTACCCGGGGAGTATATGAGACGGTTTAAAGGACTTCTTTCTTTTCGGAGAGTGCGGATGGTTGGGGCCAGACAAATAACAGTTGCTGAGTTGCGTTGGTATCGAATGAAGTTGTTGGCAAGGCTGCGAGAGCTTGAGCGTACGAAGTAACGAGATCAGCAGGTACCTGTATGTAACTGCTGTGCCAGAGCTCCCCAGGCAAACTTGCGCCGCGTCAAGCTCGTTGTGTCCTGAGTACATACCTAAGGTAGCTTTTTCTGTCAGCCCGAACCTGGTTCGTGCAGAGCATCAAGTCACGTGCGAGGAGTTATACTTGGCTTACTAATCCGGTACGGATCAGGGTGGAAGACGCACAGCCCCTATTTTCGGTGACCACGTTTTATGAGGAATCATTATGATGTGGCTCGTTGTTCAGCTATGAATTTGTCCTGGCGGGACCAGTGGAAAGGCTCTATGCCTTCTCTGCTCGTGACAGTGAGTTCGGCGACACCAACGAACAGTGACAGGCCCAGCTTGACTGGCAGAAGAATCACTTGAGACTCATCAGACACCAACTCGCCATCCAAGCGCAACAGAGACGAAGCCAAACGCCGCTCGTCATACGATCCGCGGTGAGCTGGTCGAAAGAAACGGGAAGAGCCCTAGATCAATGGCCACCTCATCCACGTTCATGTGCTTTCCCGTCCAGCATTGGATTATGATGGCCTTTACAGTGTCCGACACGTCCGTAAAACTGGGGTACCGTTCGTTGATGAAGCGGACCTCGATCTCCTCGTCGTCCAGGTCCTCCCAGAGTAGCCGGCCAGTACTGATCTCGTACATAATGGTGCCTAGGGCAAAGAGATCATCTTGCCTGGTTGGCTGCAAATTATCACGGATGGTCTTCGGTATAGAATACCGAGTAGGCGGTAATTCAAGGCAATCTGAGCCGTCGATTCTTGATCCACCGAAATCATATAGGACCAGATTTCCGTCGCCCTTGACCAGAAAGTTATGGCAGCCCAGGTCACCGTGTATTATATTGTGAGAATGGATATAGCGGACGGCTTCGACCGCTTGGTATAGCCAACTAAATATCACCCTGGTCAGCCTCTGGGGAAATAGGAGCAACAGTGTGCTAACTGACTTGGCGGCCGAGACGCTGGTAAGCCTCCTTCTCTCGGGCATGGTGCTGGCGAGCATCATTCGATGCGATTTTGACGACGTAATCCGAGGATTTGACCAGGCCGACTTGTGCAAAGGATCCTTTGCCGAGGCCGTCGATGTCTTCAATCTTCAGAACACGAGGCACGGGGTCGACCATGGTGGTTTTCTGTGGAATAAAGTCAATGGGTGGCTTCTCGGGCTTGGTTGGGCTTATTCGAGGACAATATGGCTCACATGTAACGTGTTCCCATGTGATGTAGACGGTCTGCGCTCGTGAATTGACCCGAGACAATACGCTGACAAGTTCGCCTCACCCCAGGCTTCAGCCTTCACCAAAAGGAGTGGTTCACGAACCTGTAGTCATGGGCGTTACTTCGTCTCCCCGCCCAAACATACAAACACGATTTATACTAACTAGGTTACCCACGGCTGTATCCCTCCTAACCGCTCTTCTCGACCCTTTCAACTTTGAATGCCATCCGAAAGGGGGGTTCTCTACACGCAGCTGGTTTATCGAGCGACAAGAGCCCTGGCGGTATCACATCCATGTCAAGCTTTTCTACGGCGTCCATACCCGCAAAGTTGGTATGGAATCCCTCGTATCCATGTCTGTTGTTCGAGAGTATATTCGACGATGCGCAAGTGAAAAATGACCCAACGTCTGCGTAGGGCTCGACACGTTTACGAGGATATCGAGAGAGAGAAGAGCCCAATTAAGCTGCGTTGGAATAGGTGCGTGTCTCGGTCGATGGCAAAGTGTCTTGTATGATGTATTAATACGGGGGGGGGGGGGTTCGAGGGGGAAGGAAGAGCAAAGCCAGCGCATATCTCCCAGCTATGAGCGGCGCAGCAAAGAACTTTTCCAAAGCGTGCTTCTAGCAGGAAGCGCAGATGTAACCAGATGCATGGTAAGAACCTGCCATGTCGTAGACAGAGTTGTGTACGTAAGAATTGTTTCCTCTACAGTACCGTGCTCGTCCAAAGCCGTCTCGTCTCCGTCACGTCCAGGTTGGGATCCTTTTATCCAATTTGAGGGCCGTTTCGTCTCTTATTAACGTTGTACCTCGGTGCACAGTCCCGATGGGCCGTCCGAAGCGTGACCACAAAACTGGGCGACGATAACGACCCTTATCCAAAATTGTTACCTGATTCGCCCAGGACGACCGTTATCCATCCCCCTCTACTTTCGTACTGCGTACCTTAAGGTACCTAAGAAGGTAGGTACTTTGGAAAGAACCTTCCAACGCTTCCGTTCTACCTTCTCCGCAGCTCTGGGAACGACCCAAGCAAGGCTTGCAAACTCCGCCCATCAGCTTCCCCGCGGGCATTTCCGAGAGGCCAGATTCTTCTTCCATTCTCATGTCACAGTCAAGGCTTTGTTTTGACCTTGCTACGCGCCTGTGCATTCTTTTATCTGCTCTACTTGCGCCATCTTTATAGCTGAAGTCGCCAACGTGGTTTGTCTGTTCCAATTCTTATTTTTCTTCCGAGCGTCTGGAAATCCCTCTGGAATCCTCGCCTTGGACACCATTGCTGTAATCACCTTATATTCTGCCGCTTCTCGCTTCATCAACCTACTACACTACCCATACCTACAGTTTTACCTACCTCAGTTCCCTCGTCGCCCCTCAACTGTGATGGACGACTCGGGCTTCTCAAATTTCCAATGGTCCTTCATGGACGATCTCGGGGGCAGGAGCAGACGAGAAGCTAGGCGGCGCGAGAACGAGACGTTACAGCCCAGCCGTGATACCGCATCCCACGATACGAGAGAACAGCCGCAGCCGCAGCCGCAGCCTCAGCCTCAGCCTCAGCAGGAGAATCGAGAAACCCCATCATCCCAGCCGCCGCCACAAAGGGGAAGGAGACACTATCCCGTCCGGCAATGTAGAATTTGCCTTGAAGAGGTGGAGCCCAAGTTTCCTACCGGGGAGACAGGCACACTGGACGGGCTGATGGGCTCAGGGTCGAAGCCGGTATATATCTCCGACACCGATCCCGAGCTGGGCCGGCTCATCTCGCCATGCAAGTGCAGCGGAACAGCCAAATATGTCCACGAAGGTTGTCTGCAAGACTGGAGGACCGCTGGGTCCATCGGCGCGGACAATCCGCACTTCTTTACGTGCCCGACATGCAAGTACCGCTACAAGGTCGATCGCCTGTCGTGGGGCAGACGTCTGCAGAGCAAGTTTGCGCGGGTGACCGTCACGCTTTCCATCTTCGCATTTTCCATATTTCTTCTCGGGTTTGTTGCGGATCCCATCTTCCAGTTGTGGTCTGATCCTGTGGGCACGCTGACTGGAACGGTTGTGAGCGTGCTTGAGGATATTGAAGCCACGGCTGAGCCGACAGGTCCACCGCCCGAGAACATCACCTGGTGGGAACATTTTGTCAAAGGGTTTCTCTCTCTCGGCATCATCGGATTTCTGAAGCACCTGCTAGCGATGACTCCCTGGCAATGGTGGAACGTGAGGAACAGCGGCCTTCTCGGGCCCACGGTCCGCCGCGGAGGTGGCCGGGCACGAGCCGAGAACATTAGCTGGGCGCTCGTCCTGATCGGAGCCTTGACCTTTTTCTACTCGATATGGAAGGGCGTCAATTCAGTGATCAAGACGCTCCTGGAACAGGCAGGCAACCGGGTGCTGGATGTTGGCGGAGATGATGACGAAGGCGAAGACGTGGACGACACGCAGCCCCGAGGCACCCAAGAGGAGCCGACTACCCACCTGAGGGCTACGAAAGATCAATAATGTTTTCATGAATGTTTACGAATTTGATATTCACAGGCCCCCTTCTATTGCTCAGCGTTGCCTTTAGCGGCTTTCTGCGCCATTTGGTCCCCCCACCCACGTTCCCTAACGCCTTGCACACTCTTAAGTTGCCACGAAGCTTCTCTTCCACATCGTGTCAACTAGTCTGTGTGCAAAGATGGAGTCCCTGCTCTGCCCCATGGATTGGGCCGTTTTGGCTCAGTCCAACTTGGGGTGGCAGAAGACATCAGACTCGGTTCGAGTTGCTGGCCTTCGGGCCCAGGCGACCTCTTCCCATTGTGACCAGACTGGCCCTTTGGCCGAATTTACTCTGGCCACTGGCGCAAGCTGATACATGACATCAAACAAAATTACTCTCATTGTACGAGGTTGCTTCCTCCTTCGGGCAAGCATATCCCCGGAGTAGGTCTGTCTTTAAGAAGTAGGTAGTCTTAAGCTGGAACCCCTCGCTTCGCAGAGAGATCCCATCACTTGCTAGTCCTAGCCAGAAATTGATACGTACATTCCAGAATACTATGAGTCCGGCTCAATTGCATGTTGCCAACGTAGAGCGTCTTGATGAGTATACCTACCTTAGTGAGAGACCTCAGGTGCCTTATTAGGTACGAAGTACGAAGTAGTGTATTGCCTCGAGCTTCACACTGCTGTGTGGGTGTGGTCACAGAGCGGGTGAATGTCGGCAAATCGGCACTTGGCCTGTGCGACGCTGATACCTGGACTCGGGACTTTTTGGACGATCGCGCATAGGTATCCCATCTCCAATCTGTCAAACCCCGAATTAGTGAAAGGTTAAAACCTCCAAGGATCGCCCATTCTCTTCAGCTTCCTGTGTCTGGATGATATTGAAGAGTCACCATAAACTTCTCTTCTCATACCAGCGGTGCGAGCGTGCTTAATTCATCTTCACTTTCGACGTGGGATATATTTCCTACTCACCCTGACATCGACTTCGATCCGATTCAGAGGAGCTTAGCTTGGTTCCTATTACGATTCGCTTTAATTACACCAAACTTGAGGCGTGCGCTCGTCATCAACATTGCCGCCCCCATCGACGTCGGGTTCTTCAAGACAGTGCATCTCTACGACCCAGTCAGAGGCCGAGGTTATTCCTGCCAGTTATCTACGGTAACAGCCCAGTCACTTCTTGGAGAGTCGACACCGCGGGTGGTCAATTCGAAGATGCACTTCGCGTATCCTTCGCGCAAGAGCTCCAATCCACCACCTTTCCGTCCACGACAGTCCAGGATACCGATACCAACCCTAAGAAAGGGCCGCCTCAAATCAATCGCCGTCATCGCCACAATAATCATTGGGTCGTTCTGGATAATATCGAAGCTGTTCGACTCCCGTGATGCGCCTCTTTTCAGGCGACCGTCGGGAAATCCCCCGGTGGTGTTAGTGACGGTGCTGGACGAGAGAAAACATGGCATGGGCCACAGCCAAAGTATAAGAGAGAACCGGGAACAATATGCCAAGCGACACGGTAAGTCACTCCTCCGGAAGCGACAGTTTACCCCTCCTCTGGGCTTGGAATGACCCTTTTAACACGCTCTTTTGCTCGATGACAGGATACGAAACCATGTTTGTACACGCCGGCGATTACGAGCTCGAAGAGACGGCGGGGTCGTGGGCCAGGACACCGGCCATGCGCCACGCATTGACGAATTTCCCCGAATGCCGCTACGTCTGGTTTCTCGACCAGGACGCCTACATCATGGAACCGGCCAAGTCTTTGGAGGAGAGGTTGTTGGAGCCGGATCTTCTGGGCAAGATCATGCGCAGGGACATCTCGGTCGTCCCTAACAGCATCATCAAGACGTTCTCTCACCTGAAGGGAGGTGATATTGAACTGGTGCTGACGCAGGACTTCGAGGGATTGTCGACGGGAAGCTTGGTGGTGCGAAACGGCGAATGGGCCAAATTTTTCTTGGAGACATGGTTTGACCCGTTGTACCGGTCGTACAAATTCCGCAAAGCTGAAGAGCATGCTCTGGTGAGTCGCCCGCGTGTGCCCCTTGCTTTGGGACACGGCCTTGTGTGCGACGTGGCTTTTTTGGCTAACTCGCTCTTCGCCAGGAACATATGGTCCAGTGGCATCCGACCATCCTGTCCAAGTTGGCTGTCGTTCCGCAAAGGACTATCAACTCATACATTAAGGGCAACGAGGAGGAAGGATTCCAGGAAGGCGACTTTGTCGTGCGGGCAGCGGGTTGCGGGCGCGAGGGTGCGCCGAGTTGTGAGGAGCAGCTCTCGAAATACAGGGCGACATGGCAGCAGGCGTTTAGCCAGGCGTAGGTAGGCAAAGAGGACGAGAGGCGCATCAAGGCGTTTGTTATACTGGCGAAAATTGGGAGGGCCTTTTGACTCTATATGCATACCAGAGAGGGAAGCGTTTGTGGCGTTCTGGAATTATATTATGTTCAGAGGGGTGCTTCGGGGAAAGGTGGCGTGGGTTTCTAGTTGAGCACGAGGAGGCTCGAAAGACAGCCCGGGTCTTACACATTGTTCACTCCGGTTGACAAGAAGGGCGGAGTGAGCGAACATTCATTGCACATACCGTATACGACAGACATGGACAAGACCGATAAATGACATGCGTCGAATAGGGGGAGCATACCTGAATGACTACGGACGCTTGATGCAGCTCATGTTGACTGTTTGGCCCTGACATGCAGTTGTCTCTGGTCATTTTGGTTTATTTCTTGTATCAGTGCTGATACCGGCTTCCTCTGCGTCATCTACCACTGTGTTGTGATTTTTCGACCTGTACTTCGTAGGTTCCCGCTTACAAGGTCGGATGTGATTGCCTGTCGTGGGATGCTTCGGCCGAGAATCGCTCGCACTCAAACCCCAATTTGGCCGGGAGGACGACGTCAACACCTCTGTAATACGAGGGACGTAGCGTAGCAAAAGTTCGTGCATGTGACGTCCCCGCCCTAAACCGCGGCTTCCGACCCGACAGTTGGAAGGCCCACCGGAGTCCTACCCGCCATAATAAACCAGACTTGCAGCAATGACAACAATGGACAGGCCGGCGGTAGCTTCCCAATCGAAATCGAAATATCCAAGTACAAGCCATGCCCCACCAGTCTGGGGAAGTAACTGTCACCTCGTAGCTTCCCTCCGGTTTCCATCTCGGGTTCTTATCCCCCAACCCATCGTTCCACCATTCACTCTCTCAGTACTGCCAACTTGCTTTCTCTTTTCTCCACAATCCTGTATTCTTGTTATGCTTCTCGAATTCCGTCGCCCTACGTCGAGACACTGAAACGTCTTCCATTGGCTTTCCGATTACCTCGGTTTCTCGGTCTGGAGTGTAATCCTCGTCATACTCGGCTTCGCATACCTTCCTCTCTTTCTGCTCTCCGAATACACCGGTCGCGTTGCGCCGCGTGCGCCAATTCTTCATCGACATGCCTGGCACCTCGCGAATGCCCGTGAGTTTACGGGACAGCTTTAACCAGGTCAGGAGGTCGAGAAACACGAACCCGTTCTTGGTCCTCAATTTAGATCTGTACGTTTTCCATCTCGTGCCGTGACATCATCGTCTCGCCTCTGCTAATCGAAATGGTGGTCTACGCAGAATTCGAAATATCATCTTCATTCTCTTCGTTCTACGATGGACGCGCCGGGTATGGTGGAAAATCAAGGGCCGCGGCATCATCGGCACCATAGTCGAACTGTACACCGAGCTGCGCCGCGTCCTCTACGGATACTTTTTACGCGCTCCGGGCGTGCGAGGCAAGGTCCAAAAGCAGGTCGGCGAGACCCTGGCCAAGCTTCAGTCCAAGATGGTCCCGACCAATCTCACCCGCTACGTGACCCTGCCGAAGGAGGGTCTGTCAGAGGACGCTATTCGCGCCGAGCTCGACACCTTGGCCAATATGGATCATACCCGTTGGGAGGAGGGCTACGTGTCGGGTGCTGTCTACCATGGGGAGGAGGACTTGTTGAAATTGCAGACGGAGGCCTTCGGCAAGTTCACCGTGGCCAATCCCATCCACCCAGACGTCTTCCCCGGCGTTCGCAAGATGGAGGCCGAGGTTGTGGCCATGGTCCTGGCCATGTTCAACGCCCCGCCCGGAGCTGCCGGCGCTTGTACCAGCGGAGGCACGGACAGCATCTTGATGGCCTGCCTCAGCGCGCGGGAAAAGGCTTATCGCGAGAAGGGCATCACGGAGCCGGAAATGTGAGTTGTGGCGGGTTTTCTTGTCTTTTTTTCTTTTTTTCTTTTTTTCTTTTTTTCTTTTTTTCTTCTTTTCTTCTTTTCTTCTTTTCTTCTTTTCTTCTTTTCTTTTTTTCTTCTTTTCTTCTTTTCTTCTTTTCTTCTTTTCTTCTTTTCTTCTTTTCTTCTTTTCTTTTTTTCTTTCTTTCTTTCTTTCTTTCTTTCCTTTTTTTTTGTTGCCTCTATTTGCTTTGCGAATCGCTTGCGCCGCCGCTGACCATACATCAGGATTTTGCCCAGCACAGCACATACCGCTTTTCTCAAGGCCGGAAACTATTTCAAGATCAAGGTGCATCTGGTGGCATGCCCTGCGCCGAACTACCAGGTCGACATAAAGGCTGTGTCGAGGCTGATCAACAAGAACACCATCCTACTGGTGGGCTCAGCGCCTAATTTCCCCCATGGTATTATCGATGATATCAGCGCCCTGTCGAAGTTGGCGTTGCGCAAGAAAATTTGCCTTCACGTCGACTGTTGCCTGGGCTCTTTCATGGTCCCTTTTCTCGACAAGGCCGGCTTCGACACGGAACCATTCGACTTCCGGCTCAAGGGAGTGACGAGCATCAGCTGCGACACGCACAAGTACGGATTCGCACCCAAGGGTAACTCGACCGTACTCTACCGAACGGCGGAGCTTCGCAGGTACCAGTATTACGTTTCTCCTGATTGGTCGGGCGGCGTGTACGGATCACCGGGCATGGCCGGGTCGCGGCCCGGCGCGCTGATTGCCGGGTGCTGGGCCAGTTTGGTGCGAACAGGCGAGGCAGGCTACATCGACGCGTGCGTGAAGATCGTCGGAGCGGCAAAGAAGATTGCCGACAAGATACGGACAACGCCGGCCCTCGAAGCCGAGCTGGAGATCGTGGGACGGCCGCTCGCGTCAGTAGTAGCGTTCACCGCCCGGAACCTCAACATCTACGACATCGCAGACGGCATGGGTACCAAGGGCTGGCACCTCAACGCCTTGCAGAACCCTCCGGCTATCCACATTGCGGTGACGTTGCCGGTGGCCAAGGTGTGGGAGCGCCTAATGGCCGACCTTGAGGCCGTCGTCGAGGAGGAGAAGGAAAAGGAGCGCGTGCGGGTGGTAGAGGGCAAGGGAGCTAAGGGCAAAGCCGTCGGTGACTCGGCAGCCCTCTACGGCGTCGCGGGGTCGCTTCCGAACAAGAGTGTAGTTGTGGATCTGGCCAATGGCTTCCTGGACCTGCTGTACAAGGCGTAGTCTATTGTATTCTCTACTCGTCCCTATTAATTACTTGAATATTACGGGTCAGGCGGGGTGGGGTGTAGGGGGGTATTATTAACACGGATGAGAGGTTCCAAGGACAAAAAGGAAATTTCAAGACAAGACCGAGAACGGCATGTTATCAATCGGCTGGGCAGATTATACGACAGACGGGGTCGACTCGCATGGGGCCACTGTCTTACGTTTTCCTTGTGTGGTGGAGGAGTAAGGCGACTGGGTTGATCTTTAGTTTTCTTCCCTAGTTCACCAAGCAAGTTTCTCTTGCACCTTCTTGGCCTTATCCTACTCTCACATGAACCAAGGAATGATGGATCTGGGCATTTTACCGTCATAAGACTAGTCCGAGACGATGCCCAAAACAGGACGAATCGGAAATAGGAGAGAAACAAATTTGAGCAGTTTGAACCAATGCTCAATACTCCTCACGTAGGACGGGCTGGCTTGTTGCTACCGTGCGGCTTGCGGCATCATTGGCGCGGCGATACGTCCGGCTGCATAGCCACAACTTCGGGCATGCCTGGGAAACCTATCAGCCACCGACTCACCGCCAGCTTGACATAGGCTGTCCATGCAAAAACATGCGAGTTTCCGATGATGCGCGCCGAGACCCGAAGTTGGGCATCGTTTTCGTGTGGAGGCACGGCATGAAGTCCGGAACCCGGATCGGCGGGTCCGGTGGTGAGGGGGTCGACGGCAACCGCTCGGGGAGACGGTGTTGCTCCGCTTCCCGTGGTGGGCATATCGGGGATCGCCGCCGCCGTGTTCCACGGCTTACGCACAACTGATGAAACGCCTGGATTTGGGTCTGTAGTGTAGTGTACGATGTGCCACGCCACACTGCTCCGGGATCGACGGGGCGGGGCGGGGCGGGGAACGGCGGTTTCCCAGGTCCCGATTTCGAAAGACCACGTTGGTCTGGCGAGTAGAACGATTAGCGGAAGACGGGAGCCATTCCCAATTCCATGGTGGTGGTGTCTTTGGGGAGGCTGGCAGCCAGTCGATGAAAAGCTGACGAAAGCCTTGAACCAATTTCCCTGGGGTCGCAGAGATCCGCAGACGTGAGGCCTCTTAACATGGCTTTTCGGCTGTACCAGACTCCAGGTATTCGTGTCGAGGATAACAGGCAAAGATGCATCACATCTCGTTTGCACCGGAGAGTTTTCCAATTCCTTAAATGGGTCGAGTTCATATTGGGGTTGAAGTCACGTTGTCGGGGGTGATAGAGATGGCAAAAAGTTGTTTGAGAGCCATGGCAGCTCGAGATCGCATCGGCCAAGAAGGCAACCAACCCATAGCGTATCCAGCATGTAGAGAGGTTATACAGTAAGCAAACTTACTGTAGATTTCTTCGTGTTTGTGGTCGTTTTATAGGAAAGATGGCCTGGCCTCGAAGAGGAACTCGGCAATACCAAAGTGTGAACAAAATAGGAGTTGAGTTTTGGTTGATGTTGGGAGAGACGGAGCGAGTCGGTAGACAGTGTCCGCATACAGTATTGCAGGAATATGCACACGGTGGTTACCTGGTACATGCTCGGGGTACGGTCATTGTTCAGCGCAATCTTACTCCGCTGACGCGGGCAGCGACAGGACGAGCAACAACACCAAACATCAACTTCCATAAAAAATAAGGGCCAACACACAGTCGACTATCTTCCCACCCTATAAGGCCGGTCGCACTTTGACCCCGATAATCTTGGTCACGTTACCAGGCTTCTCACCGACTTCCTTCCATCTTGCTACCTGATTCGGGTCGTCCCGTTTCCGAATTACTTGGACTCGCTTCCTTTGCCCAAACCCGATGGAATTTCAACTCCCGTTCCCGGTGATGGGGTGATGGGACGAAGGGATGGATGATCCTCGAAGCTTTCCCTGGCATTGTTCAGCTTCGTCGCCAGTGTACCGCAAGCCGAAGGACTGTTTTGTTCGACTGTCGTTCTGAACTTTGCAACTTTGTGATCATGTGGTCTTCCCTCTCGTCTCACAAGTCTGGAATTCCGGGCATTGCTATAACTAATTCCTTCCTACCAATGCGGAAGAGCGGTCTGCTAGATTCATTCTGTCGTCGTCCCAGAACGTCCGACGACGAGATCGGAGTCTCCGTACTAACATTCTAGGACCACGTCCGCTCGCACCACCCATTCTGCTTACGCTCTGTGACCGTGTTGTACAATGCGCGGATATTCGACATCCGAGAAACCAGACCCTGGACGGATTGACAATTCCCATCTACGTTACCTTGGGGTCGTCATCCGATGTCTCTGGACTCTTGGCTACCGCCCGGCCCCTGTTCAAGCCTACCCAAGCTCTCTCTACCTTACGAAGTAGGAAGGTTTTAAGGTATCAAAGAAGACTTGCCTCCCGCACTGGGGTTGTTCTCGTTTGTAGACTACCGGCGGAGATGAATCCCGTTGGTCTGGTCCTCCCTTGCGTGACGATCTGCCCATCAACTTTCTTACATTTCCATTTCCATTTCCATTTCCATTTCCATTCCCATTTCCATTTGCATCCTTTGTCACCACTACGAAGGCGAACGTGGCCGAAGCTGTACAGTTTCCCCATCACCTGGGGCATATCGCGATGCCCAACGTGCGACTCGATCACATTTGTTTGCCTCAACAGCTCGCGGTGAACTTCTGGGCATGTCCTACACTACTGGAATAACCACCTGTTTCTGTGGGGGGGTTTTTTTCTTTTTGCTTTCGAAAATATGTTTTTATTATCTTCTCTCGAGCCTCTTCACCGCTTATCCCCCACGCATTATTCTCCTATTCGTGTATTTCTCCAATTCCCTAAGGTACTCACCGGGGTCGGCTTCTTTTGGTGTCACGGCAGATGCAAAGAGCGCGAGGCAACCGAGCTAGTTTACACCACCGTCGCCCGACGACTTGGGGGGATGGTGAGGGGAAAGTCAGGAGACGCCCGTGGCAATCTGCAGCCTGATGAGCCTCTTTCCCCACTGCTCTCTTTGCCCTCTGCGGCTCTTCCGCCTATCTTGATTGACCGACATATTGTTTGGTGCTTTGGTCTGTACGAGGCTCGTCCCTCGTTGGGGTATACCGAGAATTGTTGTCACTCCCCTGCTGCGTATGCCGACCAACCATGCCGACTACCAAGAGGCGTGTTGACGGCATCTTGATGCATCTTGATGCATCTCCATATGCCCAAGACGGCCGCCAGAGGGGTGTTGACGTCTCTACTGCATGTGTGTAGAGAGCACAGCAGGAGGGGGACCCTCCAAGAGTCGCCTCGCAGGCCATGGCATTCTGACTGGCATAGGTGGCTTGCTCCATGGTAGTTGTCTGGGCATGATCACGTCGAGCGAGATGAAGAAGTATAATTAAGTCTACGCCGCCTTCGCCTGTGTTTTTCTTCGCTCCGGGCTTCTTTTCTCAATTCAACTCTGTCGTCTTTATTCAAGACGCTGCATGTTTATTCTGCGATTCTTATCCCGCCGTGGATATAGATATCTCCCCTTCAGTCTGCTATCATGGCTGCTACTACTACTATAAGGAACCCTAGCCAGAAGGCTACGCGACCAGTCGTCCATTTGGTCAACACGGCCCTCGAACCGGATCCATCCCGACCCCGAAGCGTTCACTACAACAAAGCCTCCAACCCATGGGACCAGTCCCCCCTTTCGTCCGAGACCTCCTTTGAAACCGACACCGACCACACCGACCAGGATGATGCCAGCCACCGTGATGGCTCTGGTACTGACAAGCCGCGCCCCTCGAACATGCCGTCGCAACAAGACACACCGGTCGGAGCGAACATCTCAGCACCTCTTGCGTCCCCTTCCCGCCCTGCCTCCTTTAAAAGACTGCAATATGTGCACCCTCCCCCTCCCCCTCCCCCTCCTCCATCTTCTTCTTCTTCTTCTCCTCCTCCTCCACCGCCGCCGCCTCCCCCGTCCGGCTTCCAACCTCCCCACCTATCGAATGAGGTGTCTCCTGCTCTCAACGAAGAGCTCCGCAAGATCATCAGACAAGAAAGTCAGTTCCCTCTTTTCTCCTCTTATTTGGTCCCCGTTCAAAAGTATCGGTCCCCGGTTGCTGACCCTCTCCACCATTATAGTGGCCGCCCTGCACTCCCAGACACATGACAATAGTTCCCTTCCCGATAGTGTCTCTCGCATCACGCCGTCCACCCTTATGAGCCCCATGTTTCCTGGTGCTTACTCTAGCCCACCTCCCTCAGTCACTGGAGCCTCCACTTCTTCTAGACTCACGTCGCCGCAAAGTACCAGTCCTAAGGCTCCCAACGTTAGCCCCGCGACAACCACTTCGTCTACGGCGAGCCCTCCTCCTCCCCAACGGGCTACAGTGAGGTTCCGCGACAGGGGCCCGGCCATTGTCCATAGCCACACGAAGACAGAGGCCGGGCCCCATTCTCCTGCCAGGGCAACAGCCATCCCGGAGACAACTGATACCGAGGGGCCCTGGGGCGTTCTATTCGATGCAGATGGATACTCGACCCAAAGACTAGGTCATATTCTCAGGAGCCTAGCCAGCCAAGTGGTGAGTGTCTCATACACAGTGCCTTAAGGACACATTCCGGAAAACAGCACATTCTCATACTTCTCCGTCGTACAGATTGCCAAGATCGGTACGACTGGCGGCATCACTGTCACACCTGATAAGATGAATACCCTGTACACTAAGTACAAAGTGGAAAATGAAGATTTCTCCCTCAAAGGTATTCCGACCCCCGAGAATCCTTCCCTGCTCTGCGCACTCGCCTCATTGACTAACACCTACCGCAGATGCATTCAAACCCTGCAAAAAGAACACATTCAATCACATAGAATATCTATACAGAGACTTAGACTGTCCATATCACCTCGTTCAGACAACCCCGAAAGCGCGCCCCTCCGTTCCTGGCCTTACGCCGGCAGGCTTCATCAAGTGGTTCACCACCAGTATGCTGGCCTACCCAGACCAAGAGTGCCGCCGTCTGAATCGCCTGCTTGCGGACTTTGGCCCGTTGGTGATTGTGGGAGCCGACGGCAGGGAGGAGCGCCTACCCAAGACCCTCCCACGTCATGTTTTGCCAGCCAGTCACGACAAGAAGACGCGCCGCATTCTTGACGAAGCGCTTATGGACTGCCTCGATGATCATGCTGCCTCGTCGCAGTTTGCTTCACCTCCTTCACCTTCTTCTTCTTCTTCTTCAAGGCCCCTTGCGACACCCATGGCACCTGAGTTGGTCAATAATGGCAGACGGATGTCTGACCCTGACCGAAGGCATTCAGGACCCCGCGACCGATCTGACCGATCTGACCGATCTGACCCATCGACCCGGCTCGATACGAGTCCCGATCGCGAGGTCCCGATGGCGCGTATCTCACGCACACAATCAGACAACGTCACCACCACCACCGCCACCAGCACCCGGCATGCTCTCCCGCGGCCTCCCGTGGGCCGGCACAGACCACGCAGCCCTCCCTCCTCGGACCGGTACAGCACCATTACCAGCGCCCCGAGCCTGTTCGGGATCTCGTCCCTGGTGCCACGGTCCCGCGGCGGCGGCGGGGCCGGAGACGACGCGAAGTCGGTTCGTTCCTGGGCCGGGCGGGACAGGGAGAGCGAGCGGGATCGGGAGAGGGTTGGGGATGGGGATGGTCGTCCCAGGCGGCGAAGCTTGGTGATTGGGGGCCCGACCTGGGGGGACTTTTATAGGAACGTGCCGACGACACGGGTCGGAGGGTCTGGTGCCGAGCAGGCACCGAGGGAGTATCATAGGTCACGGTGACGGGGGGAGACCCCGAATTTTCCGAGCAGATGTTTTTTTTTCGTAACTACATTGTTATTGTGTGTACTCAATACATCTCTCCGACGGGTGTTTCACATCTTCTTTCTCTGTTGAAGACTCGGTCAAATAAAACGGTCTTTTATCTGAAGTACCTTAAGTACCTTACCTACCTACCTTAGGTAGCTTACTTCATCCCTTACGAGTATGGAGTAGTAACACTAGAACCTCCCTGATGCCTCTCTCTCTCGTTCTAGACAGCAACCCTGATGTCCTAATAAGTGGTTCTAATGTCTTGAGATGTATCCATCTACACTTTATGAGACGTGGTGTACTTTGGCCAAGGGAATTCCCACACGGATACCTTAGTCATGGCATGATGTACCAAGGTAGGAAAGAGCAATCGTGTTATGTGACGGCCACGAAGGGAGACAATGGCCGGCCACGGTGAGACGCCGCAAGAGAGACCTCGTATTATTGCCAATACGTCGAAGCATCTTTCATGTGCTGATCGCGAGATGCCCGACCTTATGATAAGCCGGCATGCGTCATACATGAAGAAAATGAGCTGTAGTAGTTTGGTGGGGCAGACAGATTCTAATGCCGACGGTAAAGGCAATGACGGAGTAAATAGTTCACTTTACCTAAGGTACCTAGGAATGGGTCAGAGAAAAGGCACGGCTACCTTACCTTGGGGGAAGCTTGCGATGCGTGGGAAAGTGAACATCTTGGAGAAAAAGGAGCAAAAATTCTGAATTTGGGGTATTCTTCACTCGTTCAAAACCGCATGACATGATGCTTCATGCCTGCTTTTTTTTTCGTACCATACCCAACTCCGTCGCGTCATTTTATGCTGCCATGTCTCATACTAATCCAGGTCCTGCGGCGCTTCCAGTGATGCTAAACAATCTCATCCTGGGCCCGGGGCCATGCATATAACCAACTCGTGAAGAAGGGAAAACACAAGCAGTTTGCTCGCTCGCTTCGTGCCATGTGTGAATGAAGAAGATTCAAAGAAATATTGACAGTAAAGAAGACCTTCAGTAGGGAGGCAAGTGATGGCTGTTCGAAAATGCGGTCGAGCGAAAACAGGGGGTGGACAGAGAGAACATGAGAAAGTAACGCAGAAGAAGAAAATCGGTTGGGTTGAATTTCATCATGGTCATAGCCCGTAGTCGTTGGGTCATCGATACAGTCGTCGTTCATAGTCGTGGTAGTCATGATAGTCATGATCTTCATCAACGTGGCGTCGCGGGTTTCGTGATGGGGGGAGTTCGCTGTACGCTCGGCGGATGACGAGCTGCGGGGAGCCGAGGGTTCGTTGTTTCGGGGTGGTGGCGCCGTGGAAGTTGGTGATACTGCGGAGCGCCCTGGCAGAAGATGCCGCGGTCGTCGTCGACGATGAGAGGGAGATCCTGCTGACGGAACGTCGAAGCTCGTCCCCGCCGCAGTCTGTGAAGCTCGCATCCGTGTCCGTGTCTCCTGCGTAGGTGGAAGGTGTGACGGTCGGGTTGGTAGAGGTGGCATCAGTGGTGTTGGCTCTCGGCGTTTCGGGTCGTCGGAGTCTCGCCTCGTGCGACAGCAAGTTCTTTTTCCTTTTGGGCGGCGCTGCGCTCCGGACTCCTTTGGCTCCTTCAGCGCGGTCGGCGCGAAGAGGTGGGGCTGACCATGCGGATTCGGCGACGTCGGGGCTCTCAAAGGCCGCCGCTAAGCTTCTACGAGGCGTCGTCATGAACTCCGAAGCTGTGGGTGCAAGCCCGTGGGTCTCTGGGCGAGAGCCTGCAGTCGTGGTGGTAGTGTCGTCACGGTCGTAAGGCGAAAGTGCCGACTCGGAGACATAGGCGGAGACGGACACGGAACCCGGGCTCTCGAGGCTCAAAAGCCTGGCGCTGCGGCGAGAGGCGCGCCTCTTTTGAAGCTCGGCGTAGTCTTGCTTCCAGTTGGCGATACTCCGGGCCAGCTCGGCGTCGGCGAGAACGGCATCTCGCGGCAGTTGCACCTCAATCGCCTTGAGGCCCAGGCGGAGGTGGGAGAGGTCGGCGTCTGACTCTTGCAGTTCCGACTCAAGGTCCTGCACGCGCGATTGGAGGAACAGGATGCGCTGGGCGGCGCGCTCTGCACGGGTCACGAGGAGTTCATGGATGTGCTGGCGGTCCGTGGTTAGAGGGGAGGGCTGTCGAGCAGAATAGGGAAGGGGGAGTGCAAAGCAATAATCTTACTTCGGATTCTTCTTGCCTGGCTTTCAGGTTGGTGATGAGTTTCTCGAGTTCGCCGTTGAGTTTCTCGGCTTCGGAAGCAATCTTAAATGAATCCACGGCCGGTTTCTTTACTGCGACTTCAGGTTCTGGAGGCGAGTCACGCCTAGTCGACGCGGAGAGGTCCGAGTAACGTGAACGCATCCATGAGGACGACGGCGAGCCCCAGGCATCGCGGTCGGCCATACCTCGCCCGACACCGACACCACCAGCGCCAGCGCCATTTTCACTCATGCGCGGTCTCGGTCTTGGCACGGATCCTGACACGACGCGGTCCATTTCATCCGCGTTGGCATGGAGAAAGTTGAGCGACACCTGGTCTGGGCCCGTAGTCCCGTCGTCATCATCTCGCTGGATGAGTCGTCGAGCGAGTTCAGTGAGTCGTTGGGCCAGGGCCTCCCTGGAACCGCGGGAGAGCTCATCATCGTCGCCGAGACTACTGCCGCCCGCGCTGCTGCTTTTGCTGCATTTGCTGCTCTTGCTGTTCCGGCAACTGCTGCTGCATGCACCGTTGATGATACTTCCGGCACCGTGAAAGCCGCTTCCGTCACACACATCCGGCAGCTTCTCGGGGCTCCTAGCCAGCGAGGAGGCGACATGGCGGCCGAGGGGAGTGAGCGGTGTGAGCCCAAGGATACCGATATTGAAGGGAGAGGGAATGGAGGGCGACGAGAGGTGAGGCGGCGGAGGCGTCGCGACTTCGTCCCTTATGGGAGATTTGTCCTGCTCATCCTCGGACTCGAGCATCATTTTCTTTTTCCCTCTCTTGTTGGAGGGCCCTCCTCCTCTCTTTGTCGGCGACAGGACTGGCTGCTTTTTGCCTGCATGAGGAAATGGAAATGGGTGGTTGGTTGGTTGGGTGGTCGGGTCGGTGTGGATCGACCTGGGTGTGGTTCTTCTCTCTGCTAGCGAAGGCACGGGCCGGGCGATGGGTCGCTTAGCTCAGCACCGCAAGTGACGATTACTAAGCTGTGGACTGAACCAGTGGTTTTCTGGGTGGCCTATCTGGGGTGGAAATCGGGAAGACGCCCGAGGAATGACTCGGTTTAACTCGGCCCTTAATCACCGTAGCGCCCGAAGAAAATATGCAGTGGCAGTTTGTCGTCTAGGTATGTATGTACTATGTACTCCGTAGGGACGGACAACTGAATAACCTCACATGCTAATAAACTGACTGACCTGAGTACCATAACTACGCCTTAGCTGCTGGGGGTTATAGAGAGAGGGGGAATTGAATGTAAGGTTTTAGTCGGAACTGAGATAACCCGAAGCTAGAACTACGGATACTTCGTACGAACCAAGCTTTTTATCAACCGATGAGGAAGTACACGTGTACCTGTACGGACATCTACGTACTACTTCGAGAGCCTCGGTAGGTTCTGATAACGGACCATCATCGGTTATTCCAAACGGCGAAAATTTAGTGTTGACATAGGGTTCACTGAAGGCTATCCGTAAGTAAACCCTGCAGACACTTTATTCTTACAGAATTGGTCTACATAGCTATGAGCAGAAGGGAGTGGCAGCTGCGTAGCTACCTACGTTGAAGCAGGGTCGTCTCAGAGTCTGCGGTTCTCGGGCTCGGTGAGGGTCGGTGCCAAGCATATGTCGTGCAACCCCTTGACATCTTGAGGATGCAATATCAAGATCTACAGGAATTTGGCTTGGACTTTCAGACATTTAGAAAACTCCGTCAATCACTCAAGACAAACCTCAATCGATTTTATTAGTTCTCTTAATGTTCTTCTTGCTAGATTGTCGAAGATGGTTGGTTATTGGTTCGGTGTGAGAGAGACTTCAACCGAATTAGTTAAGTAGCTACCTAACTCGGGCGAAAGGGTAGAAAATGAATGGCCTGTGGTACTCGGCTTTATCTCCATGACCGAGAGGAACTAGTAACGAATTAGCAGCAAAGAGACGCAGAAGTCAAAGTTGGAGATCACGCGGGCGGATGAACATGTCCAGGGGATGCAGGTATCGCCCTATTGAAACCGCCACCTGACGACCAGTCCGGGGTTCAATGTCCAGGGACTTGCATGTCTGAGACTGGTGACCTTCCTGCAAGCAGTAAAAGTTGCAGAGTGTGAGAGATTCCCAGATTCCCCCCGCCAAGGTACTTACGGCATGTATTTATGTACGGAAAACGTCACGTCAGATACCCGACAACGGATCAATATGGTTCCCCTTTCGCGGTGTCGCCCCACCCCAATTCGAACCACCCACCTCCACGCACATGTTGCCCGTGTGCTGCCCCCCCCACCCCGTTTTCTTCCCTCTAGCGTACCTAGATCCCGAGCTACCTTTCTTCTGATCTCACCTCATTCTTCAACCTCGATTTGTTTCTGCACGCGATCTCTTCTACAATACAATTGACAATGCCTCCGTGAGATGGTTCAACCTCATTCCTTTGCATCCCCTTTCGATTTTCTTACGTCTCTTCACTTCCTCTCTTCCATTGTCACCTCGCCGTGTGTGCCCGTCGTCCTGCGTCTCGAGTATCCCACCTGCGTCATAAAGCCTCGGTAAACGATCTTCGCTGTTCCCAGACTCCATCCCGCGGCGTGACTCACCGTATTTACCTTTTTACTCAACCTTTCCTTACCTACGATCCTACGACTTCACCTGTCGTCCTAATCGGGACATCCAAGGCGTCCCTCACGTTCTCGGCGATTTCAGCGGCCCGGTATTCCATTTTCTTGCAGCGGATTGCCCAAACCTTCCCCGGTCCCTTAGCTTGCTGTACTCTGTATACATGATCACGCGTCGCTCTGCAGCCTCTCCGGGTCGCTTGAGTTGTCCATAATGTCGTGGAAGAGGACGGACAGGTTGATGGACACCATCAGACACTATGCCAGCTTTCCAGCTACCGGCGTCAGCTTGCGCCAGATGGTCCAGTTTGGCGAGAAGCCCTCAACTGGTTCGTCCACCACCACCTCTCATCCTCCCCAAGTCTATTCCATGTCTCGCCCGGTGTCCTGTCTCGCTGTCTGTAGTACTATCATCATTCCGCCTTGCTGACTGCCCGCGCCTCCCTCCTCGTTCATGCAGGCACCCTCTTCCGCGCCTCTCAATTCCTCGCCGAGGAGCTCCCCATTCGCCTCGCCCACCGCGTTCAGGAGCTTGAGGAGCTCCCAGATGGCTTGAACGAAATGCCATCCGTCAAGCGAGTGCAGAATTGGTACGCACAGTCGTTCGAGGTACGTCTACCACCCTGTTCCCTCATCAACCTCCGTATCGCCAGGGCCGTCTGAAGAACATGGTTTTGTTGACCCACTTCTGCTGTGCAGGAACTCACCACACTCCCACGACCGGTGCTGAGTAAGGAAGTACGAGAACGACTGATGAAGCCGGGCAATAAATTCGGCCGGACCACCGCCATGCTCTCCGAGACCACTCGCAATCCTAGCGTCGCGAAAGGCCAGTATACTTCTCTGCCACAAACCAACGGGAACGGGAACGGACATGGCAACGGCCTTGTCAACAGCAACGGCAACGGAGTCGGGATCGGGATCGGGAACCAATGGGGCGTGAAGAAGGGCCCAGCAGCTGCCGCGAGGAGGTACTTCGCCATGGTCGACGATACGGGCGACTGGCCTGCCGAGCTTCGACTCTACAATGAGAAATTTGCCAAGACCCTACACGCTATCAAGAGGAGACACGACGGTGTCGTCACCACCATGGCCCAGGGCATCTTGGAGTACAAGCGGAAACGCCAGCGTATGCAGATCGACCACAACATCCAAGCCTTCCTAGACCGTTTCTACATGTCCCGCATCGGCATCCGCATGCTCATAGGCCAACACATTGCCCTGACCGAACAAAGCCGCCATCACGACCCCAACTACGTCGGCATCATCTGCACCAAATGCAACATCCAGGAACTGGCACAAGAAGCCATCGAGAACGCCCGCTTCGTCTGCGAGGACCACTACGGGCTCTTCGAGGCCCCCAAGATCCAGCTCGTCTGCAACCCGGACATCAACTTTATGTACGTCCCGGGCCACCTCTCCCACATGCTCTTCGAGACCCTCAAGAACTCTCTCCGCGCCGTTGTGGAGACCCACGGCCAGGACAAGCAAGAGTTCCCCGTCACAAAGGTCATCGTCGCCGAGGGCAAGGAGGACATCACCATCAAGATCTCCGACGAGGGCGGCGGTATTGCTCGGAGCGCCATTCCCCTGATTTGGACCTACATGTACACTACCGTCGACCGAACACCAAATCTGGACCCGGACTTCGACAAGAGCGATTTCAAGGCTCCCATGGCCGGTTTCGGTTACGGTCTCCCCATTTCCCGTCTCTATGCTCGCTACTTTGGCGGCGACCTTAAGCTTATTAGCATGGAAGGGTGCGTCTTTGCTACACTACACACACTACACTACGTTTCACTTCACTTTAATATTTCTCTCCCGCTGACTCTACAATGTTCTCCCTGCAGATATGGTACCGACGTATACCTCCACCTTAACCGCCTATCGTCATCATCGGAACCTCTACAATAGCAATCAGCAGTCAGGAGGGATGGGGCCGGCTCCCTCACGCCCGCCTCCAACGCCCGAGGATTGACGCTGACGCTGTTGGGGAAGTACAAAGTCCACAAGAGGCTCAAGAGCCTAGAGGTTACAGAGCGCCGCCAGGTAGGCGATGCACAGGACCTCCTCAACCGATCGACTGACGCTGGAGACGCCGGCTACTTCCGGTCAGACAGTTCGAAACTGTAGCCGATGCTTCTTCTTTTTTTTTTCTTTTTTTCCTTTCGCGCCATACGCTGCACTACTCCAGTCCCGTCTCTGCGGGAGCGTACTGGTGGAATTTCTATCGACGTGGTTACAAGCTTTTTTCCACGCAGGTGCCACGCGGACACAGTTATGTTCGATGAACAAGGGACGGAATTGGAGATGAAACGACTCCAAAATATAGGTGCGCTTGAACGCGCCCGAACAAGCCACACAGACACAAGTTACACTTGTACTGGCACCATCTCAGCTCTTGCCGGTGTACTAGGGGACAGAGGCAGGGCTGGACTACGGCGACACTGATATTGGACTCGCATGATGCTATTTATACTGCAGTTGAAGACAATTATTCATATGTCGTCGGCCATCTTACCACTCGGGTAGGAGAGGGCGCTGGAGCATACTCTCAGGTTTGAAGGTCAAGAGATATCACGGGCGCGATTTGGAAGGCCTGCACAGCAGGGATATGGGGAACAACGGGATTGTGGAAGCCTAGGCCAGGACGGAAATGGTGTGTCGAGGGGGTTGGCTAAGATATATAGGGACGAGTGGGAGGACATGGATGACGAAGGGTGACATACCCACAACTTGTGTTATGGATTTTGATATGGTCCATCAATTGTAAGAGCATGTATTGAGATGTCAAGAAGTTCCATTACCACCAAGTTCTCTGTGATGATGGGGAACGAGTATGCATCGGATGTGGACGTACGAGTCCGCCTCAATAAGGTAGGTAGCCATATGTATTTTAAGGTTACGTGGGAATGGACTGCTTTCATCCATTCAGCCTACATTTCCGTCTACCTACAAGTGTAGCAAAGTGTAAAGGGGAGAGTCCGGCCCACATATCGCCAGTCAACATAAAATGGCCCCCTGAATACTTCAGAATTCATCCTCGTCGGCGACGGTATCGGCATCGAATCGAACGCCTCCGGTTCGAGAACTGGAGGCTGGAGCTGTGACGAGGTCCTGACTACCACGGTGAAGAAATCGAGGCTAGAGGCAAGCATTTGTCAGTTATCGGCAAACACATTGCGACCCTGGGAATAAATGTCGCTGAGCAACGAGAGAAAGTTCAGAGCGGTACCAACCTGTCCTTGACTAAAACCGCCAGCATTTGCTTGGGGCACACGACTGGTCTTGATGCGAATAGACTCGGGAATGCTGTTCTCGGATATTTCACTAAAGGCATTGTTGGCGTTTTGCGGACGTCCCCGGGAATTCGAGGCGGCCGGGAGCCCGGCCCTGGCCCTTCCCCGACTCGAACCCCGACCGGAGCCCCGATTCCGCGCGTCGAGCTGCCTCGCAGCGTTCAAAGTGTTAGGCACCTCGTTTGCGCCCTGCAGATGAACACGCAGGGACTTCCCGTACCAAGAATTTTCGGAGATGTCGGACGGATGTCCTGGATGGTTCTGGAACAGGCCACCTCGGCGAGCACTGCCTGCCGCTCGTGTATCTTGGTTGCGGCGGGGAGGCTGGCTGATTCGCTCCTCGTCGAGACGGAAAGCTGCCATGCTATGGGCGCCCTCGGTGATATTGCCAAGCCCATGGGATGGGACGGTTTGCTGACCGTCGTCCAGGCACAGGGGAAAAGACGCATCCGAAGAACTATCAGAGGATCCAGGGTACTGGGTGCGCAGAATATGCGGCGGCAGCCGCAGGTTTTGGCTTCGAGTCGCGGCTTCAGAGGCAGCAACAAACGATGAAGATGACGAGTTGGCATCGAGGGGTCCGGCAAAAAGAGCTGGGTCAGTAACGGGTGCGAGAGGCTCGTCCGCTTCGTCGTCTTCGTCGTCGTAGGCGGAGGCACCAAAGTGCCCCTCGGGAGGCAAGGCAATATCGATTTCCGTCTGCTGCTCCAGGACGTCATGGAGCTGGTTGGGGGCGGCAAAGGGGGTCGTCCCGGGCTCCTGGGCAAGTGCCCAGCTCTGACAAGCTATGCACCACTTTAAACCGGTTAGCATCAACGCTGGATGGTTTCCCATAATCCCCGTCTTCTGTAGAGGGGAGGATATGAGGCAAGCACTTACATTGACGCCGTCGCCTCGAGTTCTCTTGGAGAATTGGTCTAGGTGCTTAGTCTGGTTGCATGGGCCCTCGCAGTGAAGCTCCATGACAGGCTCCCCGCTATGATGGCGACAAACCATGCCGGTTTTGGCCGGGTTAACATGACGCTTGTTTTGGATCATCTTCCGGTATCGGTTGGAGAACTTTGATAGGGGCTGCCATTCCCCTCCCACATGGCATTTATAGCTAGAGATATGCGGTCAGTGCCTAGAAGCAGACAGAAGCCGGGGCAAATGACGCATACAGGGGGCCGTCCTGGCCGCTGCTTGCCAACAACGTCATTTTCAAGGGCAATGCCGACTCTATAGATGGAAATAGAGGTTGATAAATGTGGCCAAAGGCCCCTAGTCCAAAGCCCTCCGGAGGAATTTGAGGCGTGTCTTTGATGAAGCTGGTATGCCCTCAAGTTCTCGCAGGGGATATCTGAAAGATGAGGGGGATTGCAGAGTAATATTTGTCTCCCATGGGTCTCGAATATGGTGGGTATTTAAGGTACCTTATGGAAGGCACCAGGGAGGTAGAATGGTTTTGAGAACACCTACCATGGATGGCATAGCCGATGAATGGGAAGGAACATCCTACGTTATGAGGAAGTTGAGACCTGATTGGGACTACCTACCTTACCTAGGTACTTGCCTTACAATAACCCCCAAGGAAGTCACCCTGAATATTTTTCATGCTTCTCCTATTGATCAGGTCTGTTTGTGTGTGAATATAGAAGTGATAGGGTCAGGTGCGAAGGCTCTGTGTATAAGGCACCTAACATAAACGTATAGGCAGGCTATACGATTTGCCTTTTTTCTTCTATGACCTTCCGCTTGCTGTGATAAAGGCAAGACAAATAGGCACCTAAGTTATGCTTACAGGCTTCGTGCGAATATGCAAACAAAACCCAACTATATGTATCCTAACTTTCCTTATGACAAGGGGGGAGCACCAAGAAGGGAATATCAAAGGATACCAGAGTCTTGACAGAAAGGGACTTGTTGACTGTGAATGTGAAGAGATACCAAACAGAACCCCTTTACCTTTAATGATTGCCGGCTTGGAGTGGGAGGCAAGTCCGGTGTTCAGGGGAAACCCAACGAGCTCAAGGATTGCCCCTCACATCAAAGTCAGACGGGACTCACTGGATGACTTCAATAGAGCACCCCACCTTAGGCGGCTAGCTTTCAGAGATGTTGTCTCCAAGGACTTTTTTCTTTTTTCTTTTTCTTTTTTTGTCGGGGACGGGCAGCACGGCGTATGGGCTGACAAGGCGTGGTCAACAGGCATCAACCGTACTACTGCTCCTGAAGATGCACCACACGAGTAAATGGGCCACTCTCGCAGTCTCAAAGTGGGACTGCCTACTTAATGCTGGTGGTGCCTGTGATCCCAGAGGCACACGGCAGATTCATATCCTGACCAGAAGTCAGAGGGCATGATGGCCCGAGAGGTTGAGAGCCCCGTTGGCGTGGCACCTCGTTTGCCAAGAGAGAGTAACTGTGGTCCAGCACCAGAGCTATCCCCTTGATATTTGCCTGGAGAGTTACGTCAGTTTCTATACCCCTTTTCGTAGCACTGACGATGCTTCCTCACCGTTGTTCGTCTTTTCCAGGTAACGTAGGGATCTTACTACGACACAATCCCAGGTCGGGATCCAGGGGTATTGACAGGCCTTCCTAGGAGGCTAAATCCGTGTCAAGCCATGGACTACGAGTTGACAAGTTAGCCAGCACCGGGAATCTTGCAAGAATGGTTCTCAAGAAGGAGCGCATTGATGTCCGGGGTAGCGTCGTCCTCCCCTGTGGCTGAGGACTGAGCCTCACGGAGAACGCTGACTCTTGATCTCCATCGATACACACGGCAGATGCGGTGATCCGGAACGCCAAGGTTGGTCATGCTGCTCGACGCCGGATGTTCTCCTGCCACCTGGCCTGACCGACTAAGCTCCAGCATCCTCGGAACAAGTCAGCAAAGCTGCATTTTCTTAAAACGTCGTATGTTCTTGCCGACCTCTATCGGCCAGATGACGAGACCCTGAGAGGCGGTTGTGGTACCCTGGTCGAGACCGTGGTCCTGTCATCGACGTTGCTCAAAATTCGTCCGGTGTCTGGCGGTCACAGCCTGTACTTCGTCGGACATGGTTCCTGGTCTGATTTGACAGAGAGAAGTCCTTGCCATTATACTTGAGCACCGTCTGTAGTTCCGAGGTCCTTCTGGCTTATTCCCCTTCTTTTTTCTTCTTTTTCTTCTTTTTTGGTACTCTTACAAAAGAGGTACGTACCGTCACTTTCGAGTCTGACAACCTTTGAGTCGGTGTTTCGTTGTGTACAACGTACGAAGTAATTACTCCATAGGTACCTTACCTATGGTAATTACGTTATGCACCCAACGTCGTGTTTGAGTTGTCGCGTCCATGCGCGTTCAGTGGTTTCACCTACAAACAAACAGCCACCTGACGGACTCCCTGTTATTTATTCACTTAGCTCCTGCACGTCTATATATTCTTTTCCCCCTTCCCCTTCCGCTTTTTCCCTTTTCTTATTGCCAAGCCCCGTCACACACCGTCCAATCCCCGCAACACGGAAAGCCGAATGACCACTGTCAGCTGCCCTGACTTGGAGGGTTTACGGTGCTACTTATGACGTCCCTCCCTCCCTCCTTTTGATTATCTCGTCGTCCAGATCGGGAGGTGGTGGTATCAACGTATCCGCGTCTGCCGCAAAGGGATAAGCGGGTAATCGTACCGTAAAGGACATGATTACCACGGCCTTGCGATGCGGGACTAGATTTTCTACCGCGTATAAAGTACCGCTACCTGATTGTGTGGGAAAGACGTGATAGGAAAGAGGGGCACCTTATTATTATTATTTATTTATTTATTTTATACACTAACTTTTTTTTTGTGTCAAGTTAAACAATATCAATAACGGCGGTCAACAAGGGTTCCTCGGCAAGCACCGTCTTGACCACCTTGAATGCAACCCTCGGGAATGAACTCACTAGGTAGCGCCCTATCTCGACGAAGGGACCTACGGATAAACCACCGACCCGCAATGGGCATGCAATGCTTTGCTGGCATTGGCATGAACCTCGGACAGGGGTGGTGCTGAGCTGATTTCTCCTCCAACGTCGGATGTCTTGGCTATCACAGTCAGAGAGAGAGAGGTGCCATCATCATCACCTCTAACAAGCAAGCCTATAACTCTCGTTTTAGACGCACTAGCGCGACACCGAAATGGAGTTGCGCGGCCCCCGGTCTTGGCAAACCATCCTTTCTTTAGTGACGGGAGCATAAGGTAGTGTATGTACTTCGTACGGATATGCTCGTACTCCGTACTTCGTGCTTGCCTGGTAATAGGTGCTGCATCGTGTCAAGATCTCTGTACTCCGTACCGCCGTATCATTTCCTAGGACATAAGGTAAGGTACGAGGTACATGTGTCTGGGTACCTCCTTCCTCTCCCCCCCAACCAAAAGCCCTCTTCCTCTTTTCTTCTTCTTTTCTTCTTCTTCTAACCAATGATATCATCCCTTTTTTTTCCTTTCCAACAAGACTACAAGACTGGTTGGGCTTGCATCGCTGCTCATTCCTTCGGTGCCAATTCGGGACCCATTTCGCCCCCCTACTAACCCATCTGTCAGAGCTCTTAAGCTCTCCAACTCTTGCAACATAGGGGCGGACCTCCTGCGATAAGTAAGGTACTAACGCTTTCCTCTACATAAGGTACGAGTACTTCGTACGTTGTACTTCCCAACTGCCCCCAAATTACTTCCTACCCCGTACGCACTTGGGACGAAAAGGTACGGACCATCAGGATAGTCCCGTCCTGCAGCTCCCCTCTAAAATCCGTCACCTCACCTCACTTGTGTCATTCACGTCTCTACCCCCATCTTTTTTCCTTCTCTCACTCCATGTTCCTAGCATTCTCAACTTATTGCATCCCAGACCTTCCACCACAACCCAATACCACCCGATCTCCCAGCCTAACTGGATGCTCCAGTATTTGTGTACGGACGTGCTGTTTCGTCTCGCACCGACTTGTGTCTTCTTCACCAGCACCTCCTCCTCCTCCTCCTCCTCCTCCTCCTCCTCCTCCCCTTCGTCGCTGAGTTCCAGAGCCGCCGAGGGTATAAAGTCGGTTCCC